CGGGGGGGGGGGGGGGGGGGGTGATTGCGCAAGCAGCAAGCAGTCCCCCCCCCTCAAACAAGATAAAAAAAAGAAAGAAAGCAAAGAAACAAGTGCACGCGCTTTCCCACGGCTATACACCCTCATCCCCGCCCTCAACCCCCGTATACACGTACAATCTCGCTACCTCGTACTTTTCCGTGAAGCAGGCGCACCACTGTATCTCGTCAGCCGACTTCCCCCAAAACAGCCCATCACCTCCCCCTTCCCTCTCTCAAACACACACACACACACTCTCTCTCTCTCTCTCTCTCTCGCGCGCGCGCGCATCTCACCTGTTATTCGCGGCATTCCACGTCTTGACAAACGCCTTCTGCGTCCTATCGGTGTACTTCTCAGCGGTGAGTTCCTTGACGCCGACTTTAGCGCCGTCCTTTGAGAAGACGACGTTTTTCTTCTCCATGTGCTTTGTGCCGCGCTGGGCGAGCTCGTTGGAGTAGAGGAAGATCTGTGCAAAGGAGAGAGAGAGAGAGGCGCAATGTTAGTTTGGTGTTTGGCCGCGACGTCGACGTCAGGTGGGGGGTTTAGGGTGCGCGTACCTGGTACATGGTCCATCCGATGCCGCCGACGACGGCGAAGAGAATGACGAGCGGGATCAGGTTCAATGCGCCCATGGTGACGAGCAGTGGAGACGGTGGAGACGCAAGCAGGCGTCGTAGCGACGTGCCGATTAACGAGAGGGCGGCGGCGGCGGTGGCGGGGTAGGGCTGGGGGCTGGGGGCTGGGGGCGCAAGCGAGTGAGATGGCGAGGCAGAAGGGAAAGGTTGGCACTGGAAGGAGAAAGTATCATGAATAGTTGGATTCAGATTGCTGAGTCTTGAAGGGCTGAACAAAGGCCCCACTGTTAATCGTATTTGTTCTATATGCGCCGCGCCCCACCCCTCGACTAATCGCAAAGGCTGACGCCCAGGTGAAACCCCCAATCGAAGGCTGCTCAGCTTGGCGCCGAATCGGGCGGCCCACGGCACATCATTCGGCACGACGGGACTGGGAAATCCCCCCCCTCCCCTTGACCATCTTTGGTACAAATCTTCTGCGTGCGCTGCGAACAACACTTGGTCGCACGACAGAGCCTCGACACTCCTTTCGTCCTTCCCACCCTTGGCACTGGCAGCTGCTGCCACTGTCTGACTGCAAGGGCCATGCTGGCCCACCCCTACCGTTCCGTTCCGTTTCGGAGAGTCAGTCCTGAGACCCGGTGCCGTGGCCGCCGACCGTTACCTGACCTCTGGCGTGCACTGTCCGCCATCACTGGCCCGCCTCCTTGGTCGTGCCGTCTGGCCACAGGGTGCCGTGTTTCGTATCTTCGTTTCTTCATGTCTTCGTGTTGCTCTTGTTGCCGTCTTTTTCATCTTCTTTCCCAAACAACCTCTTCACGCCACCACGCCATCAGGGAAACATGGGCCCACATGTAAGAATGTGTTTCCTCGCCAGGACGAGCACCTGGGCATAACTCAGCCCAAACTTGGTACCGATGACTGCGAGTCGCCCAAAAAGCCAGTCGCGCTGGTCCTGCGGTACTGTCTCAGCATTTGCAGCGACATACAGTGGCCAGACTAGCGAATAGCCCCCGAATGCTTCTGCGGCTGAAGAGAAAGAAAAAAAAACAGTCAGCCCACAGAAAATAAAACATGCCACCAGCCCAGGAAACACTCACCATTTTCTTCTTGACCCGTCTCCTTGGCCAAGGGTTGAAGCTCGTAGCACATGTGGAAAGGCACACATGCGCTGATGTCGTCCACCATGGCTTGAATGATGAACACACTCTTGTTCCACGCCTCGTCGTAGTTGATGTATCTTCCATTGGAGCTTAGCCATGTTATGCACGCCATGATGACGCGGCGGCAGAAGATGCGGCACACACGGTAATCATTCATGACGCTCGCCAACGGCACGTCGGCATACACATGCTGTTCGCCAGGCCATTTTCCCGCCACCTCAAGCTCCTCGGGCGCGAGCATCTGATTGACGATGCCAATGATGCGCGGCTTCCATTCTATCGGCAGCGACATGTACCACTCCTCCAGGTTTCCATCCACCACTTGCGCAAAGTCGAGGATTTCTCTGGCCTCGGCTTCGTACGCGGCATCATATGGCATGGACGTGAGCGTGTTTGCGCGGGCGCTAAGATTGGGCAGGTCAATGCAGATAAGTGTTAGGCGGTTGGCAGCGTTTTCCTCGCTAATGTCGCCATTGCCTAGCCAGCCCGCCGCACCGGGAAACGGGTCGATCGGTTTGCAGCGCTGTATGCAGCTTGTGATCTATGGTCCGTCAGTCATTGATCCCCGCCAAACATGTATTGGGCATTACCATCATTGTGCGCACGGTGCGAAAGATAGCGTGCGACATGGGGTCTTTGAACTGCTCTGTTCCTCTCAGTTTTGTCAACGTGACAGCTCCGTCGACATGGTTTCCCCATGCTGTGATGGTGTCGTCGGTGCTCATGATTGTCTATCTCGCGTTAGCTCTACCCAAAGTATGCATCGCACCCACAGTAGGGCTGGCCGACTTACTTCATACAAGGAGAACATGAGTGTAGCAAGCACTGTCTCGTTGCTCTTGGACTTGTGTGAGTCCTGGAGATCTTCATGCAGCTTCTTGATAGCCTTGCCGTATGTGGACACTGCTTGGCGGCGGAGCTGTTGCCGACCAGGGTACTGTCCACATGCCGCCAATGCTACGGCCGTAGTAGCGAGGTGCAGGACTGACGATGGGTGGGCACGATTGTACAGAGGGACGAGGTATTCGAGAAAGCCCCTTGTATTCTCAGCTTGCTGCGGCAGTGTGACAAAGTTTCGGAAGAAGAAGGGCACGGCCTCGCATTCTGGAGCCAGGGAAATGGTGGGTGGGACGGCGTGTTGGCAATTCCAAATCAAGTCTTCGACGTCAAACGTCTGCTCAAGGATGGGTAAGGCAGGCGGGGAACAGCTCGATCGAAGCAGCAGCTGTTGACTCGAGTCTGGTGGTGAGTGTGATGATTTGCATCTTGATTGGCATCTTGATTCGAATCTCTGGACCACGGCGTCGGTTGCGAATTCGCCGTCTCCGTGCGATATGTCAAATGTCGTGTATGTTGTCCTAACCGGGTTAGCTCGAGTCCTTTGCCGGCGCAGATCATACAACAGCACATGGTCGACAATCGTATCAAGAGAAGGGGGCACAGGCGCTTGACAAAACTAAGTAATGCGGGTTGATGGGTTTGAGCGGGGCGGAATGAGTAATTCGGTCTAATACGTACAAATCTGGAGAAGTATGCGAGCTCGAACACCCAGAACTACTACTTGAACGATGCGCTGCAGAAGATTTCCTCGCCTTTTTCGCCATTGCTTTATTTTCATCTCGGAAGACTAGGTCGAAATCATCTCGATAGCCCGGGCATGGACGCGCCGACTTTTTGCAGTTGCCACATGTCGGCCGCTTCTCGTCGCACTGTCCACGGTTAGTGGGTGAAGCAAAGGCTATGTGGCAGCTTGTCTATCCTGGAGTGGCAAGCGGTGCCGCCCATTGCGTGAAAACAGTAATGGTTGCGACGTGTTGATACGTACTTTTATTCAGCGGGATTTGCACATGCCACAGCCCCGGCTCGGCTTACCAGTATAGACCATGGTGGTATAAAGGTTACTGATGGAAGGAAGCAAAGAAAGATGCTAGACAAATGCGTCTTGACACTCAGGCACGAATCCCAGGTGTGGGGTTTGTTCTCCTTGGAAGGTCTGGCTATAAACGATTTGGGAATGGGCAATAGCGTTGTTAGACTGATATGAGGCGACACCGCCCCTCCAGCATACGACTACTATTAAATCTCGGCTACCACTAATTCGCAATGACGGGATGCGACTTGTCCACCCCCTCAATGGGGTTTTAGGTTTGTGGAAACGACACAACAGCGACGACCGAGACAGCCGAATGACGAGCCTAAAACCATGGAGATTTCCACAGGGGCAGGACGAAAATGCGATGGCGGTAATGCGAAGAGTTGGGTGCAGGGCAGGATTTCGACATCAGCGTCCGAGCGCACAATGAGTGTAGGCCAGGCAGCCAATCAGAGGGGCCGGAGGAGGGGGATTACTCCAGGAACCGCGACGTTTGAAGCGGCGGGTGGAAACATTGGCATTCCGACTCGGCCGACGGGAGCGTGCCGAAAGTCCTTGGAGTCGACGACCGAATGTCCATGACCGAATGTCCACGACCTAAAGGACTGCTGTTGGCACAACACGCTCGCGCACTCTGCTCGCAAGCATTACCACATGCAGCTTAGGGCAGCGCCAGGCAAGACGGCGCCGTCATAGCCCTAAAGACCTGTGCCGTCCTGTCAGCGCGTTAGCCAGCGAAGAGCAACACGTCGGCGAGCGCTTTTAAGTCGTGTCGCTACCTGGCCTCGAGCGGTTCCGCTCTGGACAATTGACACGCACCGCCTGGGCAGGGGATTGGGAGGATCGATGGATGCCGTGGGCCCTGTCCACTTCTCAGCAACATGCGACGAAAAGACGAAGCCAGTAAAGGGAGCGTGGAAAATGGAACGACCGCCAAGGGATAAAAAATGAGAGAAGATGTAGGATGATGCTGGCTCAGAATGTGGAAAAAGAGGCGGATTCCGGTGAAGATGGTGTCTGCAGCTAACGAAGCTCATGGCCGGTGGGAGAGGATGGCGATAACCAGACGAGGGGAGAATGCGGCAATGCCATGCCCGGAGCGTGTCTGGAACAAGAAGCTGCTAAAGAGGAAGGCGCATGTCGTCCACGTGGAGGGGTGCCTGCCAAGTTCGGATTCGCCCAAGTTGCTGCCTGGCCATCCAACGTCAACAAACGCAGAGAAACGCAGAGAAACGCTCTTGTTGAGATGGGAGCTGCGGCGGGCTCGGTCTGGGCATGGGAACACGCCGCAACCCGCGAACAAGGAAAACATGTTTGCCATGTGGCGCAGCAGCAGGGGCGCCGTTTGCAGCATCGCATCTTGCAAGCGGCTGTGTGGCGCGGTATTCTCACCCCTGAGAGACGTCTCACGTCACGTCACTGCACTGCACCGTGTGCATGCCGGTGTACTGGATGCAGTGCGGTGCCTGCTGCGAGCGAAGAACCAGGAAATTCCTTTGGATGGAAATTTGCAATTTGTCGGGTTGCATGGACAGCCGGATAGGAGCAGCCAAGCTTAAAGGCGGTCGTGGGCTGGGTTAGAGCTACGCGGCTATAAACATGGATCATCACGTGATGTTTTGGCCGCAGCGACCAAAAAGAAGACATGATCATCATCATCATCATCATCATCATCATCATCATCATCATCATCATCATCATCATCATCATCAGCACCACCCACAGGACGCAGCGGGATTTGAACAGCTGACAAATGCTGCGCAGGTCGAATGCATCGCCTTTGTTGACTGGGCGATGAAAAAATAATAATTCCATGAGCGCTTTTGGTGGGCAAATTGCACGGAAGAAGGGATAGCGGCGGATCTTTTGAAATTAACATGAAATTACCTGGGATCCAACGGCTCTAGACGAGGGCGTCAGCAGACATGGGAGGCGCGGGCAATGGAAATGACGAGTGAGTATCAGGTTGATGCAGCGCGTAGGGTGCAGGGCGGGACGGGAGCGGATGGGCAAGGCGACCGTTGCGGGAGCATGGCCAGGGCTGTTGGGGTGCATACCGTGGGGAGAGTGTTTGTACACGTAGCAGTAGCAGTATTGGTGGTGGTAGTGGTGGTGGCCACGAGCGATCGCGTGGTCAAGGCGACGGCGAGGGGCGGCCATCTCTAGACCATAAGCAGCGGCCAGCCAGGTGCATGTGCATATGGGGGCGACGGGGGGGGGTATGAGGTCAGATTCAAAGCTTGTTCGCTGCTGCAGCGCTCTGCTGGAGCGGGAGCTGTCTCTTGCAGCAGTATGTGTAGATAGCAGACGGTATACTATGCAGGTAGGGAGGCGTCGGGCCCACACAGCCTGGTCGCGTGTCGGACGTCATACTACAAGCGACGAGCCATGGTATCTCTCGGAGCAGCCGCCGCACATGCACATGTGTACCGTACCATGGCCACGCCCGCACCCATGTGGTGGCCCAGCAAAATCTATTTTTACCCGGCCTGGCCTGGGGGCCCAGCCGGGCAGGGCGCTGCTGCTGCTGCTGCTGCTGCTGCACGGTCGGCGGCGGTCGTGGGCGTGGGCGCGCACAGCTGGCGGCGCGCAAGTGTGCGTGGCGTGTCGCGGCGGCAGATGGGAGACGAGGGTGGGAAACAAAGCGGTGCCAAGTGTCAGGGCTGTCAGGCAAGCGTTTGGGAGAGCGAGGCGGATGCAGCCATGGTGGAGGCGGCCGCGTCTTGGCCCAGGTCGCGCCCTCCGCCAGTCGCGGCCAGCCAGCGCTCGCCAGCGGGTCGGCGCAGCGCCTCTGATTGGCCGGCCTCGCCCCGTGGCAATCTTCAGCTGTACGAGTGCGAGAGAGACGCCTCGTATATGTGGGCGATGCACTGCCTGCTGCCATGTCTTGCCCTGCAACCGCCGCCCGCCAGCATCAGCATCAGCACTGCCGATAAAACGAATGCCCCGCGTCCCGTCGCCTGCAGCAGCTGCTGCTTGCTTTTGATTTTATTCTCCCTCGCTCCCCCAACGCCCATCACCTCGCTCCTCGCTCCTCGCTCCTCGCTCCCCTCCCCCCCTGCGCCCCAGCCTGTGTTCTCGAACGCGGCCCAACCACCGCCATCCTGCGATAGCGTCGGGTGCAACGCCTGCGCCATCGCCTAACCCCATTGCAGCTAGCGCCGCGCGTCCTTGCCTGATTGGTCTGCTGCCCCCCTAGGCCTTGTTGCCGCACGGTTTCACACCAGACGCACAATACCGGCCTGGCGCGCTTTCTTCCCTCTCCTCAACCCCATCGCTCGCTCTCGTTCGTTACCTGTTTCACCTTTGCTGCTGCTGCTGCCACCGCCCGTTATCCTTCCTCCGCTCTCTCTCGCACCCTAGCGACCCAGCCTTTTGGCCTTGGCCCCCTTCTTCCCACCCGTTAGACCACCAGGCACGACATAGGTTGACCCTGCGCCCGGATACCAGTTTTAATCTCCTACCTTTCATTTTCTACTCTCGCCCTCGCTCCCCCCCCTTTAGCCAACGCCCATCGCCCATCGCACACGTCGCTCGCTATCCAAAAAAGTCACGCCTTCGTTTGACCAACGCCTGCGGGCGCACAGCCAGCAACAACAATGAGATTCCACGCGACATGCCCGGCCATGCTCGCGCCCTTGATACTACTAGCCTCGGCGCCCCTGGCTGCCTTGGCCGGCGACGTTCTCCAGACCGACGGCTTTAGCTCTTGCCTGACCGGGCCCTCGGACATCACAGTAAACAAGCTCAACATTCAATTCGACCGCTCCATCAAAAAGATCAAGTTCGATGTATCGGGAAGCAACAACAAGACGCAAAAGGTCATGGCCACCCTGACCATAGACGCATACGGCAGAAACGTGTACAACAGGACCTTCGATCCTTGCGACGGTGATGTCAAGGTCGAGCAGCTGTGTCCAGGTACGCACACCCTGTATCCGTGCCCATGCCCTATAAACTAACCCGGCGCAGTCCCCTCTGGTACCTTTAGCGCACAGGGCGAGCAGAGCATCCCCGACAGCATCATGTCGCAAATCCCCTCGATAGCCTTCAACATTCCAGACATTGACAGCCAGGCCAAGCTGTTCCTCCGCTCGCTCGACGGCAACCAAGATCTTGCCTGTATCACGTCGCAAGTCAGCAACGGAAAATCCCTCGCCACCGCAGGCGTGCAGTACGTTGCAGCTGGAATTGCTGGCGCTGCTCTGGCCGTCTCGGGTGTTGCTGCCTTTGCCGGTGCTGGACATGCTGGAGCCCCTCAGTCGAGCCCTACCTTTGGCGACGTTATTGGATGGTTCCAGGCCATGGCCCTGAACGGCATGATGAGCGCCGACGTTCCCAACGTATACCGCAGCTGGTCCCAAAACTTTGTTTTCAGCACCTGTCTTGTGTACTGGGATGGCATGCAGCACTCGATCGACGCTTTCCGCAAAAGCACTGGTGGCAACCTTACCGATGCGAATGTCGATTACCTCAAGAACGCTACGCTGGTGCACGTCAATCAGAACCAGAGCTTGACAAAGCGTGCCCTCAATGTGCTTTTGTGGGCTCGTGATGAGCTGAACACTGACATCAGCAGCAACGCCACAGCTGATGCCGGCAGCAACATTGACAACAAGATCATCATTTACGCAAAGGACATGAAGGGCTTCATCCAGGAATACACGATTCCCGACCGCAACGCCTTCATGACGGTCCTGCTCTGCTTTGCCATTGTCATCGCTGCCATCACCGTTGGAATCCTTCTTTTCAAGGTTATCCTCGAGACGTGGGCCTTGTTCGGTAGCTTCCCCAAGCGTCTGACGAGCTTCCGCAAGCGATACTGGTGGACTCTGGCCAAGACGATTACCAACTTGATTCTCCTGCTGTACGGTATCTGGGTTCTGTACTGTGTCTACCAGTTCAAGAACGGAGACTCGTGGGCAGTCAAGGCGCTTGCTGGTGTTACGCTGGCCGCCTTTACTGGTGTGCTGGGTTTCTTCACGTACAGGATTTGGAGCATTGCCAACAAGTTCAAGAAGATGGAAGGCAAGCCCGACATTCTCTACGACGACAAGGACGTGTGGCGCAAGTACAGCATCTTCTACGAAAACTACAAGAAGAGCTACTGGTGGATCTTTGTGCCATCAATCGTCTTCCTGTTTGCTCGTGGCTGTGTCATTGCCGGCGCAGATGGCCACGGTCTTGCGCAGGCCGCCGGCCAGCTGATTGTCGAGTCGCTGCTCCTCATCATGCTTCTCTGGGCCCGCCCATATACGCTCAAGTCGAGCAACTGGATCAACATCACCATCTCGGTCATTCGCGTCCTGTCGGTCGTGTGCATTTTGGTCTTTGTTGAGGAGCTGGGTATGAGCCAGACGACCAAGACTGTCACTGGTCTTGTGCTTGTCGTTGTGCAAGCATCGCTGACTGGTGTTCTGGGTGTCCTTATCGCCGTCAATGCAATCATTGTCTGCTGCAAGGAGAACCCGCACCGCAAGAAGAGAAAGGAGGCTGGTAAGTCAATAACCTGGCATGATGTAAAAAAAACGCGCATTTCTAACAAGGTCACAGAAAAGGCTCGCGACCTCGACAACCTTACCCCTCTAGATGCGCGCAACTCGCTTCTCATGGACCCGCAAGAGTACAAGCGTACTTCTCTTCCTGCGGCCTTTGGTCCTCGCACCGAGGGCTACGATCGCGTGCCTCTGGCCGAGCAGCATACTGCGTACAACGGTCATGGTGGTCGGGCGTTTGCCGACGACCAAGGACACCTGCTGGCCGATGCTTCGACATTTGGCCGCACAGCGTCGCACGACCGAAACCGAAGCCGCGACAGCAGCCCAGGACCCGACGCGGAACTTGGGTACCATCAACCACCTGGATACGTGGCCAACGCTCCCTGGCAACCCCATCAACAAAAGGGGCCCCAGGGTCCGTACTCGTACTAGATTTCACGGTTTCATCAAGTAATTCATACAGCGAAGACCTAGACGGATTGTATATACATGGCCCGTCTAGGCACTGATTCCCCTTTTCCTTGTGTCTTGTCTTGCATTTGCGGTGGCCATTCGACAAAACAGCGTGTCGAATCCATCCCAAGCTCAGCTCCATTCCATCTTATGGGGCATGCCGTTTGCTACCACCTTGGTATCCCCAATTACGAAAGTTTCTTTGCGTTGTTTTTATATCTCATCTGTTATTGTGTTGTTGCAGGGGAAAGATGTGATACCAGCTCTTGTAATTCTTACGCCACGCGGTAAGCCTGGGGCTCGCACACATTTCTTCTTGATCTGCCGTTGTCGGTGTGTGGTGGAATTAAAAAAAAAGGGGGTGGACGGGGAAAGGGTAGAGGGTGTGGACATGTTGATCCAGGATAGAGAAGGGAGGGAGGGAGAAAGAGAAAGAAATGTAGTGTGGATGCAACTACCAAATATCAATAGTCAATATTCCAAATCACGGCTGCTCTGGTCCATGCCCATTGGACTCGTTCCTCGAATCCCCATGTCGGGTATAGTTTTGTAATGCTTTTTTTTGCTCTGGCTAGGGCTGCGTGAAACGGTTGCTGCGTGTCAAGATGGATACCTGAGGCTTCTTTGCTGTCATCTTGGGACGGCTATCCTGGTTGGGAGTGTGAGCACATTATGTAGGTAAGGAATTGTGGGTTACTAGGTACGTGGGTGTGTAGGTGCCGTGTGTAGATGGCGTGTAATCACCGCATGCAGCAACCCTGGGCTGGGCTTGGAAATATACATGTACGTACCTCATTCATGGCTGCTCTACTTAATGCACTAACGCTACTACAGTATGGCATGTTTCTGCATTGCCTCATCACACGTCCTTGTACGGACAGAGAATCAGAGGGAAAGAAGAGGGGTGGGGGGGGGTTGTACTGTTAAGCAAGGAGCATGACTAAATAAGTAAGAAATAGAGGGAGAGACTACTTAAACCTCCATATCTAATCTTCAAATGTACATGAAAATAATGTGCCTGACTGGCAAGTATACATTTCCCATCTACTTTTTTCTTTTCTTTTCTTTCCTTTGTTTTTTTTTACCAGAAAATAAATTCGGAAATAAATTTGAAATGAGAGAGCGAAGGGGAGAGACAAGGAGAAGGAGAAGGAGATGGAGAAGGGAGATATCGCAATCATTCCCTCTTAACTCCTCTCCCCCTGCTGCATGTATTTATGTATGTACATGGGTGTGGCTAAGTTTTGTTGAGGGCGTGATGTGACGCAGGTACATACATACATATAAGCAGAACCGATAGATGGATGGAACAGATAAGGCCCGCCGCCGCGGCACACACCCACACTCATACACACATATGCAGCCCACGCCGCCGCCGCCCACGCGCCCACGCTACGCCACGCCCACGCCCAGCAAGATTTCGGGTGCACGCTAGCGGAGACGCCGCCCCTTGCACTTGTATGTGTGTACGACAAGACAAGACCAGACTAGACAAGACAATTACCCCGACACGACACGACACGATATGACTGACACGACACGCCGACCTGACTGACTGACCGAATGACCGACTGACCGACTGACTAATGGAACCAACAACATTCCACTAACCAAGCCCTGATTCAACCTTCAGCTGGGTAAAATAAAATAAAAAATTGCACAAATCTAAGCTAAGAGGGGGGTGAATCTGCTCATACGCCCATAACTAAGTAAAGAGTAAGTAGGCGCCGAGTGTTCCGAAACGCGATGCGATGCGATAAGTAGCGATGCGATAGCGAGCTTGCACGTGTTTCCGGTACTTCCAATTTCCCACTTGACATTTCCACTTGCAGTTTTTCCCAATATTGTGCTATTGATTACTTTTGGTGCGGGCGTTTTAATTTTAGGCTTCTGGGTTGGTGCTAGGTTCGGGAGTGGATGGATGGGGGGGGGGGGGTGGTTCCGCACACACACACACACACACACACAACTTGTGGTCTGGATCTCTCTTGAACTTTTTTTTGGTCGATTCATTTTCCGTGGTTCGTTGGCTGTATCCCTTCTGTCGTCGCCGTTTTCTTTTCTATTTCCTGCGTAGCCTGTATTCTCTTTTTCGCTGCTCGGTTGGCACGCCGTTTTTTTTTTTTGCGCGCTTCTTTCCTGCAATTCAACGTCATGCCAACCAAAGTCCAAGGCTTGCGCTGTCTAACTAACGCACGATAAGGCCAAACAGTCTCGATTCGGCCGTCGGAAGGATTCCCATTACTTTTTTTGCCGTATTGCCTTTTGGGGGGGGGGGGGCCCAACCCCCGGGTTCAGCTGGTCCCCGCTGTTTTGGCTATGGACAAGTCTCGCCAAGGGCTGTGCGGTCTTTGGTGGCTTGCGTCGTACGTATCGTGGGCAATTACCTCGCCTCCTTTTTAAAGTTGCGACGGCTTTTCCGTGGCGGTGCCTCTTCGTACCTCTCTCAAGAGGGAATCGTTTGTCCAAGTAGTATTGGTCTCGCCCGTTACTATAGCTGCTGCTGCTGCTGCCGTTGTCCTCGAGCCACTGTATATTACTTTTTCTTCTCTGCCATTCGCTGCTGCGCCATATTCGTTTTCCACGGTAGCCTGGATCCTACGGCCATTTAGCAAGTCCATTTTTGTTTTTGCGTTTACAAAGTCACAACGGTTGATTCGAGGATTGGCCGCTTCCATCGCTGGTACGACCCGCCTACCCGCCTACCCGCTGCCCGTACGCAGGTACCCGCAGACTCTCGCTGGTACAAAAGATCGCACAAGAAGCAATATCTTTTTTGTAAAACTGTACATCGATTTCCAACAGCCATGCGACGCACCGCACTGCTTTCCGCCACAACGGCCTTGGTGGCCAGCACCACAGCCCAAGTCACGGCGTCTTCATCGTCAAAACGCGGCCTCTGCCACGTCCCCTCCACAGACCACCCGTCCGACGACAAAATCTGGGAAGCCGGCCCTTCACCGCCAACATGGTACTATAACTACAAAGTCGAGCCCTCGCCGGACCTCAAAGACACACACATGCAGTTTGTGCCCATGCTCTGGGGCGCCAGCCCCGACGACACAGGCACGCCGTTCCTCGACTCGGTGAAGAAGCAAATCTCCGACGGTGCAAACATCACCTACGTGCTGGGCTTCAACGAGCCCGACGGCGGCCACGACACGGGCGGCTCGTCGCTCGCCGCCAGCCTTGCCGCCTCGCGCTGGAAAGCCGAGATCGAGCCTCTCAAGGAGCTGGGCGTCAAGCTGGGCGCGCCCGCCGTCACAGGCGCCCAGTCGGGCTGGGAGTGGCTGCAAAACTTCTTCGCCGAGTGCGACGGAGGCTGCAACCCAGACTTTATCCCCGTGCACTGGTACGGCAACTTCGAGGGCATGATGAGCCATATCGGCCAGGTCACCAGCAAATGGCCCAACCTGACTGTCTGGGTCACCGAGTACGGGTATCCGCACCAGTCGCTCGAGGAGTCGCAGTCGTTTTACAATCAGAGTGCTACGAGCTTTGATTCCTGGCCGTGAGTTTTTTTACCCGTAAAAGCTGAACAAAGGTGTGTTGGCTGACTGGGAAATCTAGAAATATTACCCATTACTCCTACTTTGGCGCTTTCCGCTCCAGCGTCTCAAATGTAGGCCCTAATGCCGCTATGCTGACCCAAGACGGCAAGTTGACAAACATCGGCTCCTGGTACTTGGGCGGCCCCGCAACAAACAATGTTCCCGAGAAGTCTGCTGCTTCGCCTGTAAGCACTGTACCTGCAAAGATGTTCGTCTTTGTTGCTGCTGCGGCGGCGGCTTGGCTGGCTTGGGCTTAGATGCTGTGGAAATTTTCCCGAGTATTACTGTAACGGGTAGGTAGGGTAGGGTAGGGTATAGAGATGTGATAGAGTAGGGCGATACAACGCTCGTTTCTTGGCCATGTATAAGTCGGTCGGGAATAGCGACGTGGCTTCTCTGAGATTTCTAGCATTGCTATGGCGTTAGGATAGGGATTTCTTTTCCTTTGGCTCATGACGAATGGAGATTTTTTGCTGGGTACAAATGCGGCAGAGCATGAAAATAAAGGTCGCTATGGTATAGATTTGGCAGAGGAAACAAGAGAATTTATCGTCTGAATTCTGCGGCTAGAGACTACATATGCAGTGGTGATGTATTATCCCTCGTTTCCGACTCGCCGATTGCCATGCTCGAGACCAACATCTACCTTGTTGCTGGAGAAAGCACCGCAGTACTGGAATCAAACCCCACAAAAAGAACCTCTGCACACAACGACATGAAGAGAGTGTGCAAATTTCACAATGCAGGCAATCAAAAATACCAGACTCAACAACAATCAATAATAATAAAAAATAACGTCTCGAATTCAATCAAACATGTACATCAAAAGAAGAAGAAGAGTTGGAGATCCCTACAGCCATATAATCCCTATATACAATCCATCCATTCCCCCTAAGTAGCTCATTTCATCAGTCGTAAAAAGATATCCGCATCCATCATGAGAAATCGTCTCGCGCTGCAGGCGGAACTACAGTGCCCAGATAGCACTGGCAATGACAACAACAACAGCAACAAGCAGCTTCACAAAAGCCATACATGTACATCCCAGCTCTCCTTGTTCAGCCACTCATACTCAGCATGGCAGCCGAGTACGTAAGGTACCAAGTGAGACTTGCGCCGCCATCCAGGGTGTCGGAGAAAGCCGGGTTGGAGAAGTAGTCCCACGCCGCCTGGGGATTGATGAGTGCCTGGTTCGCCTTGAGGATGCCGGCCCAGCCGCCGGGCGCCTGCTCGGCCGCGCCGTTGCCAAAGTACGTGTCCCACTCCTGCTGGACAAAGGAGCGCTGGCGCGTGTACGACGACACGGGGTTCTGCGGGATCATGTGGATGCCCTGGATAAACGCCACGTTGCTGCCAAAGTACGTCGTGTGATCGACCTTGTTCTCAAACAGGATGCCCGTGACTTTGTTGTGGATGAAGCCCGGCGGCTGGTTCGCGTTGTTGCTTTGCATCAGGAAGTAGTTGTTCAGACTGCGCGCTTGCACCGCCAGTTGCAGGTTCGCGCGCGCCACCATGTTGCTGTCTTGGATCGTCTTGCCCCACATGCGGAGCGCAAACGTCGCAAACGTGTCTTCCGACGTTGATTCTTGGTCTTTGCCGTCGCCAGACTCGAAGAGTCCCTTGGCCCATGAGTGGCCGTGGAACCAGTCAAACGAGCGCTGCATCGGGAAGTACTGGTCGTCGACGGGGTTGGCGTAGTCGCGAGCAAGGGTTTGGACCCAGGCTTTGTTGTTGCCTTGAGTGAGCCAGGTGGGATCGAGATGGCCAATGACGGCAGCAGTGTAGAGGAAGTAGCCGTAGTGGAAGTGGTGGTCGTTGTAGAGCGTGTTGCCAAAGTCGAGACCAGTGTCGTAGGGAGGCGCGTAGCTGGCACTGGAGACGACACCTTTCCAGACGTTGTCGTAGAAGAGTGGCTCGGGCTGCGTGTTGTTGACAAAGACGTTGAAGGCATCCTTGAGACGGACCAGCCCAGCGGCAGCATATTGGCTGTTGCCAGTGATGGAGTTGAGCGTGTATATGATGTTCGCGAACTTGGCCAAGCCTTTGCCCGAGTAGTACATGCTGTTCAGTGACGTCTGGGCAATCATGTTCTGACTGAGCTCAGAGACGCCTACTTTGTTGATGAGCGCAATAGCCGAGGCGCTGAGTTGAAAGTCGTCGGAGCCTCCAGCACCGTTGGCATTCTTGGACCAAGGCGCAAAGTTGATTGTGTCGGGAAGATCGTTCTCGACCATAGTCATCTTGTCAGCACAGATGGCCTTGGCAAAGCCCTTTGTCGTTGTCACGAGTGTAATGTTGTTCAGGGCTGCTTTTGTTTGCGAGTCGAATGATTCCACGTGATGCGGCAGCGCATACATGAGCAGAGTCTGGCTTGTTGCGCCAGCCTTTGTCCAGCTGATGGAGTAACTTGCAGTTGCACCGTTGACCGATGCAGAAACGGTAGCACCTACAGCGTAGGCGCCGGCACTGTTGTCAAAGACGGGTTCCATGCCTTGCCCTGACGGGTTCTTGGTGACCTGGATTGTGCCTACGAATCCCGCTGGGCCACTGATCTGGCTGTTGCTGTCCAATGTGAAAGGAACCGTGCCAGCTGCGCTGGATGAAGTAGCGTAGAGAAGCCAGCAGGTGTCATCGTTTAGCGTGACTCTGTATTTTGCGGTCGCGCCATTGACTGTTCCCACATATTCCAGAGAGCGGAAGAAGACGGTAGTGCTGATCACCGGCTTTGCATTGTTATAGATGGCAGTCATCATACCCATGCCTTGAACCACAGGAACAGACACCAGAACGCGATTTCCACCAGCGCTGGGCGAGCGCAAGTTGGCAGTCGCAGAGAAAGCGGTCAGGTCTTCCACAGAGAGGATAGTGTCTGACCCAAGCTCTTGGGCAGAAAGAATAATGGAGTAGATGCCAAGTGGTGAGATGAAGTATCGCGCATTGTCCCTGCTGGGACCAAAGGCGAACTGATCTCTGATAGTATGAGTGATAGCCATGCCGTAAGAGTTACCGTTGCCCTTGGCCCAAGACAACGAGTAGGGGTGTGTCGATACTGGGAAAGACTGAGTACCGAGGAACAGGTTTGCATAAAACTTGTTCGTCTGAATGGGTACATTGCCATCCTCAATGTGCTGCTTCTTGACAGGGTGGTCGTTTCGAACAGAGAGATAGCTTGGAGGCGCTCCGGCTGCAATTGGTTGAAAGATGTTGTCCGAGTCGATGCGCATGGCATCCGTAGGACCAGGCTTGAGTGAAGTATGAACTGGAGATAATGACTTGAGGGTGGTTGTGACACCTGGCCCATCGGCTGGATCTCTTGTAAAGCCACCTGGAGGAAGTCCTGTCAAGAAGGTCTGCAGTGTGTCAGTAGGCATGCCTCGAAGCAGGCTACTAGTGCTGACGTACCCCGGGTTTTGGTGCTTCAGTAGGAGCAACCGACTGCATCGTTTTGATACTTTTGCTATAACTTGTCGTCACAGGAATGTTGGACAAGGTAATCTCCCGAACCTCGTGGATGGCTTGGGTTCTCTTCACAGAGTCCGCGGGCAAACTGTGGACAGAAGCGATAAGATGGGCCGAAGCCAATAGGAGAGAAGATAGTTTCGCCATGTTGGCTAGTGGAAACAGAAGGACAAACTTCAGGACAACCAAGCAAGACTGTTAGAGAATGACAAGCAGACAAGTACTCGCAGAAACCGTTATGGCTTTGCTTTGATCGAGGGATGCACCGAAGGTATCCTGTTGTTTTGTGAGTGATGAGCTGTAGGTCAGAGGTTGAATTTATAACCTTGGAGGCAAAGTAATTTGATTCCATCTCCACCACTTGTCGCATACTAACCGGGTTGTGAATGCCTCCTTGAGGAAGGTCAGGCTTTGCAACTGAGACATTGAGCTCAGGTGTAGAGACAGTATAGACTAAGATGCAGCTAATTTCCTCACTGCAGCCTGTCAAGACGTAGATGTCTTCGCCCTGCCGTTACACGAGGCCTCTGAAGACCGGAAGATTTAGTGTACCAGAATTCAACACCCAGTCTCTGTGGGGTTACGTGTACAAGGCCATCATGGCGTGCCGGTAGTTGCTGTACTAAGTGCACTTCTTACACATAGTTACGACAAGATTATGCCTTGATCGCGAGGCCATGACTGCTAGATTGATGGTCATAGTCTTTGAGGCTTGTGTGTAATAAAGAGTCAAGACAGTGAAGTGACTGAGAAGACGGGTCGCTGCCAAGAGATAATCTCCACTCGGCAAGCATCTCTTGGAAATCCGTGGCCCGCTCGCATGACCGTACAACGGGTGGAAGAGACAGGCTCACCGCCATGGCGACAAAAATCAAAGTGCCTTGTGGCAGCCCTGCTAGCGTCTATGTGCCGTTGATGCTGATGTTCGGGGGGTGGGCCCAAAAATGCGGAGGTTACGCTAAGCAAGGCGCGAGCTCAGGGTCCGACGGGTAAGGGCATCGGGACATGGCATATGACCATTGTTTTTTGCTTTGGCCACCTGGAAGTTGGAACTAGGACCAGATTCCCCGCATTTTGGTCCTCGGACTGTGAGGTTACATCAACCGTAGGCCCAGGACTTTCAAAGGAGATGTGTCCACGAGGTCAGTGAAAACAGCATAGACAGTAAAGACAGCAGAGACAAGGAAGACGGCCAAGGGCGGCAACGGCGACAGTGATTCCATTTTCCTCGTACCCAGCTTAGTTTACCCGCAACAAACGGGCTTTGGATCGGTGCCCAAACCATCAACGAGGCGGAACAACGAGACGGAACAACGGTCAGCCTAGGCAGATGGTTTTGTTGCTAAAAGAACCTCATGATGCTGTTGTGGAGTCGGGCCGTGGACAGACTGGAGAAGACATGAACTTGGAGGTGCAACCGTCAGAATCTAAGGCGCGGGAAGCGTTGGAGGCGCCATGTTAGCCTGTTAAAACGAGCGCTAAGGTTTCGCTTTGCAATCTCGTGATCAGAGCGGTACATGCGCCTTTTATTGGCGTGGAGAAATTTGAAGTGTGACAGGCGCACATGGTGGAGAGACAAGAAGGCCGCGAAGAAGCCCTGAGCCGCCTCTGGCGTCCTACCGGCGTTGTGCATGGCGAGTGGCTTGGATGACAGATACATAGACTTCGCTCAGCCTTCTAGACGGTAGATGCATCATGTCCGGTGACAACGGTCGACGTGTCACATGGCAATACATTAGTGGCGGCGATCACATGCAGGGCATCGGAGGTAGGCGGTACATTTCTCCTGCGCCACCGCACAGCCACACATGACATCATGTCTGCTCTTGCTCCCGCCACTCCAACTGCGCAAGCGATGCCATCACTATGACAAACAAAACCCCGGCTGCAAGCTTGAGTGCGTTGTACTCGAGACACTGATTTTTTACGAAATCGCCCGACTCTGCAATCTTTGAATTTCTACAGCCTCTTCTAGTGTCTGCAATCTCCAGCCACCTACAACCTCGTTCAACACCTACACCCTTCCTAAATACCTACAAACATCATGCCAACATCGCAACATCCAAGCGAGCCACCGCCCAGCTACGAAGCCGCCATCTTTGACGCAGACCCATCGCCTGGCCTCCATCGCGTTTCCACAGATGGTCCTGCAGCGCGCACAGAGCGCAATGGTATTCCACCCGAGTGGCGGCGCTCCATGGAGGACTTGATGCGCGAGCTGCCTCCTGGATGGATCCGATCGTTTGACGAGCAGTCTCAGCACCAGTTCTTCGTAAACACGCGAGCCAACCCTCCACGTAGTATATGGACGCACCCATACGACGATGAAGAGTATCTCAGCACACTGAGCCCGGAAGAGCGCAACAAGCACACGCGCATGCACCGGACCATGACTATGGACGACCTTGCTGCCGAGGACTCCGACGCAGAAGATCACTTGCCGCCGCGAACGGCGCCAAAGGATAAAGGAGCAGCGGCTTCTGGCGAGCCAACAGGCATTCACAAGTTCTCCAGAAAGCTCAAGGACAAGATCACGGGACAGACACACGACGAACGTGAACTAGCCCGACAGCGCCGCGCAGAGCAAGAACGCCAGGCCTATCTCCAGCACATGCGCACGCGAGAGGCCATCATACGCGCAATGGAAACAGGCGAACCGCAACTGCTAGGCAAAGACCGACAGGGCAGGGACGTGTACATTGAGCCGCCTCATGGATCTGTGCCAAGAGGAGCCTTCGGATACAATCCATATGGTCCCCGCCAGTACTACAGTCCCAACGTCCGATACATGCGCCCGGCTACACCGTACGGCAGGCCGTATGGTTACGGGTACGGCGGAGGCGCTGGGCTGCCAATTGCGGCTGGACTTCTTGGTGGCACTCTACTGGGAAGTGCATTATTCTAGGGACTCTAATCTTGATCTCCCAGCCGGATTACTGCGGAAGTCGGGCACCGGGCGCATGAATTTGTTTTGACAAAAACAACACACACACAATCATACAGATACGCCTCAAGTCGATGACGCAGATAGCGTTTGTTTTTTCTTCTTCCTGTATACTAGCACTAGTCCTTGTTCCATAGTAGGCTTTTAATAAGACACGACTGTCATGATGCAATCTCTTCGCATGAAACGTACACCTATACTTGTCAAAGTCCCACTCACTTCTGCTTCCCCCCTATCCATGCCGGCACTTTGCCTCGTAAAAGCAAAAACAAGAAAAAATCTCATTTGGATACGAGGCAAGGCGGGTGAATCAGCGCTTCTAAATTTACCGAATCGACAGGTGATGAAGCGAGCTAGTCTTTCAAGACCGTGGGGTGTGTGTGCGTGGCAATACCAGGGGAGCAGCGAATGAATGATTCCAGAGAAGGATATATCTTGTTTTTGCGCGCCCACGGCTTCGAAACAAAACATGAAGCCTAGCTCTAGCAGGCGAGGGCTGAATACCTTGTACCGACTGCGCTTAACTGATTACAGGCAATCCCCCCCGTGTTTACACACGGGGCTTATTCGAGCGAATCACGCTTTGACCATTTTGTGTGTGTGTGTGTGTGTGTGTGTGGGTGGGTGTGATTTGGTCCCGAGATTAGGCATCTGGGGTGGTCGCTTGTTGTACGACTGGCCGCTAATGGCATGTATGTTTTGTTGCACAGTGGGAACACAGGCGCTTTTATGCACGAGGAAGGGGACTGGATTCTGGGGTATTTTGGAAATAGCCTGCAGCTGGAAACTAGTAGTACTAGTAGTGGTAGTAGTAGGAAAGGAAGCTGACACGTTGCAGGGCACAACTGCGGGGCGAAAGTCGCCCTGGTTACTGTACCACCTGCCTGCAGTGTTGTTAGCACCGACTGCACTGTGAAGCATCCATTTCTGTGGAAAACGCGCGTGTCTCGACAAGGAGCGCGATCGTGTGGACACATTCACTAGAGGGCGTAAAGGTTCGGCAGATGTCGTGGCCGTGGGCTGACATGGGCCTGAATGAATGTAGAATTGGCATCATCGGCGATGTGAGGTTGTGGACGGGCGTAATGGCGATAGGAGGATGAGAAGAAGAAGAAGGAGAATGGCGTGGACAGTACAACCAGGGCGGGCTGTGTCGTGATAGCATGTGTGTGCCGTGGTGAAAGCAGCGACCAATGGGCGGCGGAGAATTGATAGGGCGGCTGGCGGGACCAATGACAAGGGCGCAGGTTACGCCAAACGCGTAGTCAGGGCTCCGAAGCCGGAAGCCGAAGCGCAGCCATTGGCGGGGCGACTTCTGGAAGCGTTCCAAAACGTGCTGCAATTGCACAAGGCGCGCGCGATACGTCAAGATAAAGATCTGGCATCCCACACCCATCACGACGCTCATGTGGCAGAAGTGATCAATACGGCCGGGTTGCGTGTCAGCCGGCGACAAGGCCAGGGCGCAGCCCTTCTTTTCCCCACGCTGTGAGGGTTGAGGCCGTGGAGACATGGCGACGCACAACAAGGAGCCCCACTGCGCCGCGCTTCTGGGGGTGGGGGGGCAAGACTCACATGCTTTCGCGACAGTTTGCTGACCAGGGCGGCCGGGCGGGTGCGGGAAGGCAGCTGAACCCTGCTGCATGTCACGCCGCCCAGGTGGTTGTGGTTGCGCAAAAAAGAAACCCGTGTAGACTGCATGGCCTGGGGCTGGCTTCAGCTGCTCGTGCCCGTGGTTTGTGGGCGCCTGATACGAGGCCGCAAAGGGTGTGTGGAGGCGTGGTGCTGCTTATGGGAAGACGCGCCGTCCCCGGCCAGCGACGTTCGCAGGTGTTCCCATGTTGATCTGAGCCACGCAATAATATCACGTCTGTGTCGCCTGTACATATACGCCGGCGGGCGCACTGAAACAAGCATAGCGCTAGGCCCGGCGGGGGGGATGGCAACACGCCCGAGGCTGCAGCTGTGTTCCTCGAGCCCACGATTGCCCAGACGACGAGATGACGGTACGTGGTGCAACCGTGGACACGGTCAGGTCTGGAACTGAATGACGCCGGCCGACCCATGTGCTATACAGCAGACAGTGGCCATGGCCGCCGTCTTGCTGACACCTCGGAAGCTCGTGCATGTGCATGCGGCCAGTAGCGCCAGGGCAGCTGTTGACGATTGCCAGGCTCGGTTTCATGGGGCTGGGGTGGGCTGCGGATGCGTGGCCGAGGGGGGCGTGGGAAACACAGGCGGATGGGTGTGGGTGAGACGGACGAGGTTGAGATCAAGATGGACAATGGGCGATGGCGATGCCATGGGCTGGGGCTTATCGGCGCGGGTGCAAGTCGTCGCATAACGAGTCTTGGTCAGGGACGGCGTCGCGGTGGGCTGGGCACAGCGCCGGATCGGGCTAGCCGGCCGTCGCTGGCGCGCGGGCGCTGATTGGCTGCCGCCGGGTGCTTATCTCTGGCATGAAATGCAATTGACACCACGCAACATGGGCCTCCCACCTGCCAAGCACTTCCGCCGCCCGACGACGCTGCCCCATGGCTGCAGTGGCTGCGTACACGCCCATGGCCAGTCGCCGCCAGAGAGCCGCCGCGCGACAATGGCCCTCGCAAGCTCCCCGTTATCTAAGCCGCTCCGTCACCCTCCCGCTCGCGGCGAGATAAGGCCACCGCCTGCCATGACGCAGCTGCCATCGCCCCGGCTCGAAAAAAACGAACAAGCTCTGGATCCGTCGCGAACCCCACGGCGGGCGCGCGCCTGTGCATCAGGTCCCTTCGTCCATTTCGCCTCGAGTCCTGGCCCGTGGACCAGGATAGATAAGACCAGTACAGTCAGCCCTCACCCATAAAGGCCCCGGCGCAACCATTGCAATCTGCACCAGGCCTTCCAATTTCTACCTGGCGCCTTTGGGTGCACATACAGTATATTATTACCGCCTCGCCTCCACCTCGTCCGCCTCTTCTGCCCTCCGTCCACCAGGCCCCGTACCCGCCCTCGCCCCTTCCACGGCCCCCCAGCTCCCATCGCCACCATGTCGTACGCATGGATCGGCGCTCCCACGCCCTTCAATGGCACCAACTCGGTCACTGGCGGTGATTCTGGTCAGTTCAAGTCCCGTCGCCATCCCACAGAGCGCTATACTGACATGGCCATGTGCAGTCAACGAGAACCTGAACCAATGGTACCAGCCAGGCGACCAGGCCTACATCCTCGTGGCTTCGGCCATGGTGTTGATCATGGTTCCTGGCCTGGCCTTCCTCTACTCCGGTCTGGCTCGCAGAAAGTCGGCCCTCTCGCTCATCTGGGCCTGCATGTTCTCGTGCTCCGTCATAACCTTCCAATGGTACTTTTGGGGCTACTCGCTCGCCTTTGGTCCCTCCAAGAATGGCTTCATCGGCAACCTCGACAGGTTTGGTCTCAAGGGTGTGCTTGGCGCTCCCAGCCAGGGCAGCCCTCTGATTCCTGAGCTGCTGTACTCCTTCTACCAGGTACTAGCAACACGCCCGTGTCTCACACAAAACATGCTAACCACGCTCGCAGTTGCAATTCTGCGCCGTTACAGCCGCCATTGTCGTCGGCTGCGTCGCCGAGCGCGGTCGCTTGATCCCCATGATGGTCTTCATCTGGCTGTGGGCCACAATCGTCTACTGCCCCGTCGCATACTGGGCCTGGAACGCAAACGGCTGGTTCTTCAAGTGGGGTGGTCTGGACTATGCTGGTGGCGGTCCTGTCGAAATCGTGTCCGGTTGCAGTGCCTTGGCCTACTCGATGATTCTTGGACGTCGCCAGGAGAAGATGATGCTCAACTTCCGCCCTCACAACGTCTCTTTGATCACCCTCGGAACCGTCTTCCTGTGGTTTGGCTGGTTGGGCTTCAACGGTGGCTCCGCTTTCGGTGCCAACCTTCGCGCCGTCATGGCCTGCTGGAACAGCAACCTGACTGCCATGTTCGCCGCCATGACCTGGGTTATTCTTGATTGGCGTCTGGCTCGCAAGTGGTCCATGGTTGGCTGGTGCTCAGGTACCATCTCCGGACTCGTTGCTGCCACTCCCGCCTCTGGTTTCATCCCTCCATGGGCAAGCGTTTGCCTCGGCATCACCACTGGTATTGTTGCCAACTTTGCCACCAAGAGTATGTGTTCCACCTGAAAAGAAAATCCTGTGTCATTCGCTAACATCCTTGCAGTCAAGTTCTGGATCAAGATCGACGATTCCCTCGATGTCTTCGCCGAGCACGGTGTCGCTGGAATGTGGGGTCTTTTCTTCAACGGCATCTTTGGTGCCAGGTACATTATTGGTCTCGACGGTGTCAACAACGCATTGTCGGCTGGTGCCATCACCGGTACTGGGGCCACCGTCTACAAGCAAATCGTCTACATTCTCGCCTGTACCGGCTACTCGTTTGTCGTCAGCGCCCTCCTCGCTTTTGTCATCGACAAGATCCCCGGCCTCAAGCTTCGTGCTTCCGAGGAGGCTGAGCTCCTTGGTATGGATGACGACCAACTCGGCGAGTTTGCCTACGACTACGTCGAGGTCCGCCGTGACTACCTTGCGTGGACCCCTGCCAAGGGTGACCCCCTCAACAGCGAGCACTCGGTACCCCAAGGTGACCGCCACGGCATCCCTCAGCACAGCCAGATGCTCGAGGGCAAGGCTCCTTCAGAAAACTCGAGCCACGACCACGACCACACGGGCATCGGCGGTGACAGGCATGCTGTTGCCATGGGTCCCGAGCATCAGGAAAAGCAGGTTCACACCTAAGCTTTTGTCCTTTTCAGTGTTTTGAATTTGCTCCTTGCGATGTTTTGAGTCAAACTGTTCGAGATACCACCAGCGCTCTCGTCCTTGGGCTGAGCCTTTTTTTCATATATACTTCTTAGATATGTGCAAGCACCTTTCCGATTTATAAAAGTGTACTATACATGGTATTTCACGGCGTGTCCTTAAACTCCATTCTCGTGTTTGTTCTTGTCTTGGACATGTGACTGTGAGCAAATTTTGCGTGTACGTCGTTAACAATCAAATTACATACGTAGATGTTTTATTTCCGCGCCCAGCCCCGAGCTTATCAGTGCAAACACGCTGAAGACTCGTATTGGTCTTGGGTCAATATTTTGTTCTTTGCCAAGCCCACACTCCGCATATTCCTTATCATTTCCCGCTCCTCCACCCCCATCATGGCTCTCGTCGGCGCCCCACCACTTTGCTGCACCCCAGATGCTCCTGATGGATGATGTCAAGCTACCGCGATAGGCTTGAGGCCAAGCATTATGGCTGTGATAGAAGATAGCGTCTTCCCAACCACGATGTGCCTTGCCATCATGCCACCCACGCTGCATTGCCTAGTTTTGAGGCATTACGCACATGTGCGTGGCGCCATACCCACGCTTCACCTGCCAGTGTGGCTACACTCACAGTTTCCATACGCGCGTCTCCATGCCTCACCATTTGTTATGCTTTCCGTGTCCATCCGCAAGGCCGGCTGCAGAGCCTCACCCAGCGTTTTTGTTGAGGCCTCTTCCCTTGGTCGCCCAAGTCAACCCGCATGGTATCGTGCGGAATATGTCGCCTACTCAAGCATCGCTCCGTTGCAAGGTATTCGTTTCGAAGTAGCCACATGGATATCCCCACACGGACACCTATGGAGCAAGCAGGCCAAGGGTGGGGTAAAGCGCAGAGAAGCTTTGCTGACGGCAGGAAAAGGCGTGATTTTCGCCTTGACCAAGACAGGCTGAGGGTGTGAAACACTTTCTCGGGGAAAAGTGTCTTGGGTGCGTTCCATACGCTCGGCAGCCGGGGGTGGGGCGGAGCTAACGCTAAGTAATCGCATCGTCGTGGTGAAAAGCACCGTGACGAAGTGACAGCCAAGCCTACCTCGCAGAATGGTTGGGTTGGAAGCCGACGTCGCCGTCGTACCCCAAAAGCCAATTTACCGCTCGGAAAAAAACAACAAACGACCTGCATACGGGCCCGCGGTGTGACGGGCATTCTAAACATGCAGTGTATCAATCAGACCATCGACTCGCATGTGCCAAGCCAAGGAGCTTAGTATAGTACGGGCGCAGGCGCAAAGCTTATTGGGTCCTCATACCATCCACCCCCAGGCAAATGCCGTGCCCTTGAGCTAAATCAGTCTAAAGCACACGTCAACTCCTTTCTGGGATAAAAATACGGCATGCTGCACATCCAGACGAAATGCCGAGAGGAATCAAACATCGCCAGGTATCATCATGGATGGGGTGCGTCTGTACGCCTCCTAAACAAAGCGAGCAGCTGTTCGAGGACGAATCACCAGACATTGCAATGGCCTTTCTGTGACAATGGGCTTGCTGTGCGACTGACATTGAAAGGCCGTCGTCGAAACGCACCTTTGTCATCTTGTCATAACCTCTGCCATTTCCTCACAAAGAGCCAGGCTTCGGAAACCTGGGACGAAATACCATTGGTATCATAGCTCCGGAAAAGAATATCTTCTCAACGGCGACAAGCATGTTTCTTTGCTGATTCCACTCTCTTGCAATTTTCTTTTATCAAATACCCCCAACTACATTCACCGTATTCCCTTGCCGAGTTAGGCGACAAGATGCGGAATGCTCTGAGGATATCCCCGGCGCCATTCAAGTCCTCTTTCTTGTCCATTCCACCATCGCCATTCTCACCGCGCACTCCCTTGACGCCGGCAGTGCCATTGCGACATGAGGTACGGGAAGCGAGTCAACAAATCTCAACAACAAATTCAAAGTCTGCAGTGCATGCGCCATCAAGCCCCGTGGCATGGGTATGGAAATGTCATCAATGCAACCACGACTACCGTCTAGGTGTGACAAATCGATGCCTCGAAGATGGACATTATTACTGCAGTGGCACAACACCGCTCAAGGCATGGCGAAAAACGAAAAATTCGAGGCACATCAAAAGACATGCCGCCTGTACCAGCGAATTTGACTACTCTGCCTGGAGAAATTGGGGCAGATGGCGAAGAGGTGGCCCCGGGAACAAGGACACACCGGGCACTGGTTCAGCAGCCGGCAGCGAGGACCACACTTCCACGAAACCCAAGAAGGACTGCTGGAACATGTGCGACTACCCGTCTGAGTGCGGTTGGGGCAAGAAGTTTGGCATTCATACACCACTCAAGACCTGCTTTTCTACCCTTGAAGCTGACACCATGTCGACACCAACTGCTTCGGTTAATGCGACATCAGAAGATACACCCAAGGCTGAGGACCTCAAGGTTACCAAGACTTCGGGAATCGGGATACTACCTGGTTTCTGGGCTGCTCTGGCGGTGAGCATGAGTATACAGAGGAAAAAGAGTGATAGTCAGGCTACCTCGTCGCCGCTCTCCACTGTCACGCAGGAAAAGACTGAGAGAGCTGTGGCTGCCAACACCCAATCGCCGGCTAGATACCGAGACAAATCTGCTGGCACGACGGTTACTGAATCCTCCTTTTCGGATAATAGCCCCGCTTCTTCGACGCCTGAAGGTCCGGCCAAACCATTGCTCAGCAGGACGCGATATCGCCGTGCGAAGTCTGCTTTCCCCAAGTCCCACAGCTACATCGACGTGCGATGTGCGACGGGTATTTTCACGCTGAGTGCAAACCAGGAGCTCAGTTTGAGGCAGACGGGCGGATTCGGATCGGGATTTGAATCATTGGGAAAGGCGCCGAGTTGGCAAAATGGGGCTCAATACTCTTCTTGCATTGTGTGAAGACAGAATTACATGGACTCTGTGTTCTTGTAGTAGCTGAACGTGTACGCCGTTCAGACAGTAGTAGTAGTAGTAGTAGCTGCTAAGTATGACGTAATCCCAAGCTGAATATGGAACTATTTTTTCTTCTTCTTTCCTACAGTACCGCCGAAACACATATGGCATCCGGCAGCTATCCACTATACAGACCACAAAGTGGGACACGAGAAAAAAAATGCCAACTCTGCAGTGCCCATGGGCTTGCGGCTAAAAGTGGACTTTCCCGCCCGCGTAACAAATGGGCAATGCAGGGATGTTGTTGGTGCACGAGCCACGTGCCTTTCACCGTTGCCGTGATCCCCCTTCTAAGCCGCGGTCCCTGTCAACACCCTCGCCCAGCGCGCGCCGAGCCCATTTCTACGAGGCACATTGCGAATATGGTGCTCTCATTCATCTTGATCCAGAACCGACAGTATGTTTGCGCCGCGCCGCCGGGGCGTTGCCTGATGCTGACATGCCGTGTTTGCGCAGGGGAAAGACGCGGCTAGCCAAGTGGTATGCACCGTATAGTGTAAGTCGCATAGCAGAGAGATTGTTTGAGAGCAAGAAGCATTCACTGACAGACATGCAGGACGATGAAAAAGTCAAGTTGAAAGGCGAGGTATGCAAAACACGTTTGTGCTTTACCCTGGCTGTCTCGCGCCCCGTTCCGTCGACCGCAACCCCCCCCCTCCCCTTCACGAAGCCGCGCCCGCCGGATGCCCCGACCGTGTTTACGACATGTAACGCTCAAGTTACTCACGCCCGTGATAGGTCCACCGCCTGATTGCGCCGCGCGATCAAAAACACCAGTCCAACTTTGTCGAGTTCCGCAACATGTCCAAGATTGTGTACCGGCGATATGCCGGCCTCTTCTTCTGCGCATGCGTCGATACAAACGATAACGAGCTGGCGTACCTCGAGGCTATACATTTCTTCGTCGAGGTGCTAGATGCCTTCTTTGGCAATGTCTGTGAGCTGGATTTGGTCTTCAATTTTTACAAGGTACGCGAGAATGGACAAGATACAGGCAGAGGATGGAATAGTAGTGGAGAGATTTAAGATAAGATAAAAAACTGACAGTCAGTACAGGTCTATGCGATCCTTGACGAGGTGTTCCTGGCGGGCGAGATTGAAGAGACAAGTAAACAGGTTGTGTTGACGCGGCTGGCACATCTTGATAAGTTGGAATAAGGGATGGCAGTGTCTGTGTATGAAGAAGTTGGCGTGCTTTTTTTCTGCACTCGGTCGGAATTCGTAATGGTAGCCCCAAGTCGGAGGATCGGAAGTCCAAATAGGGTTGTGAAGGGTAATGTTGGTATCCACGGACACTGAGGATTCATGAACCAAGGTGCAAGAAGATGGCTCCGCTTGGTCTGTCTCGCGCCCATGACGCAGCGCACAACAGTCCCATGGGGTGATGCTATTGGTGTAAACTTGGGTGCCAGGCAACTGGAGGAAGGTATTCGGTATAGACATGGAATACTGCGAGGACATGTTGCCAAAAACAATTGACATTGAACTGCATTTTCGATATCCGGATCGCACGCGATGGAATGGGCCTCGTTCCGTTCTTGCATGTGAGGCGGCGCACGGACGTGATCGTATGGAAAGTAGAGAGATCTGGAAAATAGACAGATCATCAACCTTGCTCTTGGAAATCTGTCCCTTCGCCCGCGCCGAAATTCATTCGACAATGCTCGCCCCATGTTATGAACACCTCTCCTAGTGCTTCGCGTCCTGTTGCTCCTTGGCCCAACGCTTAAGTAGGTCCGCCTCGCAGCAATCCCGTCCGTCGACTCGAGCGCCTCGTCCCCCGCGCCACCGCGACCATGTCCGAATTCCACATGTACCATGACCCGGGCACGGCCGCTCCCAACCCCAACGGAGCTGGTATGCAAGACGAAACCAACAAATGGCGCCCGCCAGTCGCGGCAGGCCCTGCTGGCTACCAACAGCCTGGAAGCCCAGCGATGGCTCAGGCACCGAATCAATACGCAGGCACGCCCGCCCAGTACGGCACCCCAGTGCAGCAGGAGGGGTATTTCCCACACCAGGGCGCACCGCAGGCCCATCCTCAGTACCAAAGCGATGAAGATGTCAACAACTTGGCGGGGCAGATGGGCGCGGTCGGATTAGGCGGGGATCCAATGGCACAGCCTAAGCCCAAGAAGAAACACAGGCACGCATACCACAACCTCGAGGGCCCTGGAGGAAGTTCGCAGGCGTTCAATGGCATGCCTCAGAATGGTGCGCCTGCACAATTCGCGAACCAGAACTCGCCCCAAGTTGGCGGAGCGCAATGGATGGAGCCCCAGGTCACCCCCGCTATGAGTCAGTTTCCCGCACCAGTGAATCCCGTCTTCAGTCCTGGGGCTCAGGCTTCCCCCATGCAGTATGCGGCGAGGACGGCAGCGTCGCCACACCAACCCGGAGGAGCGGCTGTGGGATCGGCGCAGGGTCGTGTGGATCCCGAGCAGATACCCAGTGTGCCCAAGTCGCGAGATGCGCCAGCAAGATACTACCTGGAGCATGTGTACCCTACCATGGAGCACCACCTGCCCCCGCCGGCTACGGTTCCCTTTGTGGCATTTGACCAGGGCAATTCCTCCCCCAAATACGCACGCCTCACGCTGAACAACATCCCGCTCACTGCGCAAGCACTTGCTGCAACTTCTCTGCCATTGGGTATGATCATACAACCGCTGGCAGCTCAGCAAGAAGGCGAGCAACCCATACCGCTTCTGGACTTTGGAGAGACGGGTCCGCCAAGATGTGTAAGGTGTCGAGGGTACATCAATCCTTTTATGCAATTCAAGGCTGGTGGAAACAAGTTTGTGTGTAACCTGTGTACCTATCCAAACGACGTGCCCGGAGAATACTTTGCCCCTACAGATCATGCCGGCGTACGGATAGACAGACTTCAACGGCCTGAGCTTACCCTGGGCACGGTCGACTACATGGTACCAAAGGAATACTGGTCCAAGGAACCTGTTGGTCTACGCTGGCTGTTTTTGGTGGATGTCACTGCTGAGTCAGTGAATCGCGGCTTCTTGCACGGTTTCTGCGAGGGCATCTTGAGCGCGTTGTATGGCGAGTCAAGAGGCGAGACTGAAGAGACTGAAGCCACAAGCCGGCTGCCAAAGGGAGCCAAGGTCGGTATTGTGACGTATGACAAGGAGGTGCACTTTTACAACCTCAACCCCAACCTGAAGAGCGCTCAGATGCTGGTCATGTCTGACCTCGAGGACCCTTTTCTGCCATTCAGCGAAGGCTTGTTTGTCGACCCCGCGGAATCCAAGGGCACCATCACCTCGCTTCTCACAAGTCTGCCCACCATGTTCTCGGAAGTGAAGCATCCTGAGCCAGCCCTGTTACCTACCTTGAACACTGCACTACAGGCGCTGACAGCGACGGGTGGAAAGATTGTGTGTTCTCTCGCTGCACTTCCTACCTGGGGACCTGGTCGACTCATGCTCCGTGACGATAGCAATTTGCACAACACAGATGGCGAAAAGAAACTCCTTCAAACTGAGCATCCTGGTTTCAAGAAGATTGCTGATAAGATGGTCCAAAATGGTATCGGCATAGACTTCTTCCTTGCAGCACCTAGTGGAGGGTACCTTGATATCGCAACTATCGGTATGTGCAGCTATTGCAAGCTTTTGAGCACTGCTAACATGATTTTTGCTAGGCCATGTATCTGCTGCAACGGGTGGAGAAGTCTTCTACTACCCCAACTTCCACTCACCCAGGGATCTACTCAGGCTGTCAAAAGAGATTCAGCACACCGTCACGCGAGAAACCGGATATCAAGCGCTGATGAAGGTTCGATGCTCAAACGGTCTGCAGGTCTCTGCCTACCATGGCAACTTCTACCACCACACTTTCGGCGCCGACTTGGAGTTTGGCGTCATCGATTCCGACAAGGCTATTGGTGTCTTGTTTAGTTACGACGGCAAGCTAGACCCTAAGCTCGATGCTCACTTCCAGGCCGCACTGCTCTACACGGCTGCCAATGGTGAGCGGCGAGTACGATGCATCAATATCGTGGCTAGCGTGAGTCCAAACACGGGCGAATGCATGAAGTTTGTCGATCAGGATGCGGTGGTGAACATCATCGCCAAGGAAGCTGCTGCTCGTATGACTGAGAAGAACCTCAAGGAGATCAGGGGAGCTTTGACAGAGAAGACGGTTGATATACTTGCCGGCTACAGGAGGAACTTTACAGGCAACAATCCCCCTGGTCAACTCGTACTACCAGAGAACCTCAAGGAATTCAGCATGTACATCCTTGGCTTGATCAAATCGCGGGCATTCAAGGGAGGTAAGGAGCCCACAGACAGAAGGGTCCACGACATGCGAATGATCAAGTCAATGGGTCCCTTGGAGCTGTCACTGTACCTTTACCCACGGATCATTGCAATCCACAACCTCGACGCGGGCGATGGATTTGCAAATGACAAGGGCCACCTTGTCATGCCGGAGGGTACACGAGCATCGTTTTCCAAGGTCGAGGAAGGTGGCGCCTACATTGTCGATAACGGTCAAGTATGCCTGCTGTGGCTGCACGCGCAAGTGTCACCCAATTTGCTTGAGGACCTGTTTGGTGAGGGCAACAACAGCCTCAAGGCACTGGATCCGTTCCAATCTTCACTCCCGATTCTGGAGACTCATCTTAACGCGCAAGTACGAAATATCCTGCGGTACCTGGCAGCCACGCGCGGCTCCAAGGCTCTCACTATCCAGCTGGCGCGGCAGGGTCTCGACGGATCAGAGTACGAGTTTGCCCGCTTGCTTTACGAGGACCGAAACAACGAGGCGCAAAGCTATGTAGACTGGCTGGTGCATGTTCACAGGCACATACAATTAGAGGTACTTTGATCTTGCGGTAACCAGGCTGACCACCCCTGCTAACTCAAGCACAGCTCGCAGGACAGCGGAAGAGGGAAGACACCGATGTAGGGTCGACTTTTGTCGGGCTGCGAACACCCTACTGGGGCTAAAAGCGGTACTAAGCGTTGATGGGCGGGTATTGCATAGCGAGAGTGGGAGCGCGGCGTACGTGGCTGTATTGAGACATTGGCATCTATCTAATCATGGTTTTTCATTTCGCTGCCGGACCTACGTGCCGTTCACCCTGTGATGTTCCTGCAGAGCCGTCTCCAGACACGTCGACACGTGACCGTCGGAGAAACTAGCACGCCGATGTTAGCGCTGTCTCGCTTAGCTCCTCCACCCACTGGAGCAAAACAGCCTGACCGTTCGAACTTTCAGTCTCTCGCAACTAACCTCACAGCGAAAGTCAACATGCCTACCCGACTGACCAAGACTCGCAAGCACCGCGGCCGTACGTTGAACCACATTGCTCTCCACGAAAGCGACGCCATTGCCGACCTCGCTTCTCTCTTCGGCGCCGAATTGATGCAGACATGTTAATGTCATCGCCTTGGGAGAAGGGAGGGAAGGGATTCGGGTCGCTGGAATGGGGAACAAGCATCGAGGCAGGCGCCCAAGGCTAACTGGCATGTAGATGTTTCGGCCGGTCACGGACGTGTCGGAAAGCACAGGAAGCATCCCGGTGGTCGTGGTATGGCCGTAAGTTTTGTCTTGTCCTGGATACGCAAGTGCTGCAGCTAACATGGCATATAGGGTGGTCAACACCACCACCGCACCAACATTGACAAGTACCACCCCGGTTACTTCGGAAAGGTCGGTATGCGTTACTTCCACAAGATGCAGAACCTTTTCTGGAAGCCCGTGATCAGTAAGTCTAGTCCTATTCACGCAGCCGGGACCACGCAGGATTAACATGCCGCAGACCTGGACAAGCTCTGGTCGCTCATCCCCGCCGAGAAGCGTGACGAGTACCTCGCCAACAAGGGCGGAAACGCACCCGTTCTCAACCTCCTCGACTACGGCTACGCCAAGGTCCTCGGCAAGGGCCGTCTCCCCGCTGTCCCCATTGTTGTCCGCGCTCGCTACGTCAGCGCCGAGGCTGAGAAGAAGATCAAGGAGGCTGGCGGTGTCGTCCAGCTCGTCGCATAAACAGTTACAACACGATGTACATGATACGGCGTCTCGGATCACACAAAAGGATAGGGTCTCTCAGAGTCCGCAGTGCCTACGGGCTTGCGCAGACTTGCATTCAGCGTGGTGGCTGAGGAATGTTTCATAGATAATATGACCATTCCTGAATCAACCTTGGATACCCAGCGGTCCCTTTGAGGGAGCCTGCCAGCGTTCTGCGTGCTTGGGGCATGTGCCGTGAGTTTGCGCTTAAGTGATGTTGTAATGTTGTGATATAGAGCCAGTTTGATGCCGTGTTGATTCTAACCAAGCAGAAATGGTTGTGAAATTTCTTCACTACAGTGGAGGCTTGTTTTCGAGCATCGTACATTATGTCTGTACGTTGCTGTTGATACTTGATACCATCCTCGCTTATGCATTCGACTTTTCCTTTCCCAACACATGGAAGATGCTTGAGATTTGGAAACCTCTTTTCCATAAAATCAGCGCGTTGTTGAAGAAAGAAAAAACCCCCGTACTTTAGAATGGTAAGTAATAGATGCTTAATTTTGTTTTTAATGGTTTCGTGATTACATAGATTAGACAGTTATCAATTACATAACTACGTACATAGATGACATTCGACAATAACAATGAATGAAAAAGACTCAAAAAAACAAGGCACTATTTATCACACACTCACCCAGCAATGCTTCCTCTTCCTCTTCCTCTTCCTCTTCTCTTCCCTTGTCTTCTCTTCCACACTCAGATCCATCATCTTCTTCCCCTTCTTTCTTTAATCGTAATCGTAGTCCTAGTCCTAAACCTAGTCGTTGTTGTACTAGTAGTAATAGTACATAGTACATAGTAGTAACCTAGATTCGTATATATATATATATATATCCAATCTCCCCCTGCCTCCCGCTGCCGCTGCCGCCGCCGCCGCTGCCGCCCGTTTTTCCAACGATACAAATCATAATGAGATGAGATGACTGGCCATTCCATTGTGCATCCTTTTCATTTTTTTTCATTTTTTCTTTCTTTCTTTCTTTCTTTCTTTCTTCTTCTGTGCGTCCCGGCTTTCTCCGTGTGTTTTTCAATGTTATTGAATTCTGTCTGTAGTATTGATGGGAACAGTTTTTTTCTCTTCTTCTTCATTGGTATGTTTGGCCGAGTTGGGGGGATTGGCGGGTTGCTTGATACGGGATGAGTGATGTGTTTGCGGGTACGGGTGCGTTCTCGTTTTTTTTGGGGGGGCGAAAGACGGGGGGATGGATGGATGGATGGATGTAGTTTTAGGTAGGTTCGTAGTTATATTTTGGGAGTCTGGAGTTGTATGGATGTGTGAGTGAGTGAGTGGATGGGTAGGTGAATGTAGAGCGACTGAGCCATATTGTGTAATCCAGACAGACAGACAGACAGACAGACAGACAGACAGACAGACAGACAGACAGACAGACAGACAGACAGACAGATGTGGAGTTTAAATACCGCTGATATGGAGATGTGTCAATGAAGCAATAAGGTAAGTGCAAGTCAAGCCATTCTGGCCTTGGGCTCTTGGGGTAAGTATTCTGCAGCAGCGCTGATACTTCCATGTGTGTTGAGTGCGAATGCATGTGTATGTTTTCTCATTTCCTCCGCGGAGAAGATCTAGAAAGTGAGAGTGTTTGAATGTGTGCGTGAAGGAGAGAGCTTTCTTCAGCTATTTTCTCGCTGCGGGGTCGTATTTATTTCTGCATCTGCATCTTCTGGTGAAATGGTACTAGTAGAGCCGTAGTTCTCGCCATCAGTACGCGGGCGCATGGTATCCACAGCCGTGCTACTACTCTGCGCAGAGACTGCTTCGGCATTCGTATCTTCCGTTACGGAGGTCGAGGGCCGCGAGTGCGATAACGACGCGCGGCTGTGTGTAGTTGGGGCCTTGAAACTGCGCGGTAGCGTCAGGTTACTGGGCTGTGAGCGCAAGGGCGTTTGGCCTCTGTGGCGCGCCTCGTCGTTTGCTTCTTGGAGCGTCTGGAAATGGCGTTCTAGGGCGCCGCGGGGGGATTTGCTGCGGCGTGAGCTTGCTTCCGTCTACATTATCGATTGTCAGGATATTGCTACGGTGGAAAAGGGAATCTATGTTGATCAGACTTACAGGATTGGTACTTGTAAAGCCGCCTGGTAATTCGCCCAATGCGGGTCTGTGTCGCGACCCAGTGGCTTTGGACATGCTTTGACTGCGGTCTCGGTCTAGATCCAGCATCAATTCACGGATTTCCTGCGCCGTGTCTGAGTGGAGACGGAGATCTTCGAGGCGCGTTGTGCGGAGACGTTCGCTCAGGCTGGATCTGGATGACTCGGATCTCTGTTGCATTGATTGCGGTGGTTGAGAAGTGGCTCGTATTCTGGTTGCTGTCCGCTCCCGAGCGGGCTCGCGGGGTGCTGGGCTGGCATGGCTTGGACCGGGTATTGAAGGACTCAAAGTAGGAGACGACGATATGATACCCTCCGGTTCGCGCTGGATCGTATTCGAGAGCTGAACAGGTGGAGCCGCGTCGCCGTGATTTTCCCCGGCAGACGTCTCAACTCCGGATTTTGGTGTAGGCGTCTCAAGTTCTTGCTGACTGCTCTGTTGCATTGGTTGCAACTCGATGTTCTGCTTCTGTGCACCAGCATCATGCTGTTTATCTTCCTCATCTATTGCTATTACTTCGCCTCGAGTGCTTTCGTGGATTTTTCTTTGTTTGTCCTTGTACTTTCTCCAGCCCACCGGGTCAGAGCGCATTTTCCTGGTCAAGTACGCCATACCGAATTTCTTGGGCACAGCAGCTACATCGGCCGACTGCATTTCCGGGTCGACAGATCTCGCAGGTCCATCAGGGCTGGTAGCTCCAGTTCGGCAGGTAAGTGATTGACAGAGCTTGCCGGCGCCGCTTGTCTTTTTGTTCTTCGCTTCGTGATCGGCTTCTACGGGTACTGCCGCACTCAGGTCCTCCTCGCCCCTTATTATACCCACCGATCTAATCGTCGACTCTGACATTGGACTCATCATATCTCGCACTAATTTCCTCGCCTCGGGACCTAGGACTTGCAGAAAAGTGCGCTCAATGTCTGCCACAAGGATTTCCCGGTACGACTGTGCTGCCGGGCCGAGTAGTTGGAACTGGACCTGCGACCAAGAATCCGTACTACCCCTGAGCGTGGAATCTTTGTGCGCCGTGGAGCGCGAGTTTGTCAAGGCCAGCCTTGATGCGTCGGAGCGATACGAAGGCAGTTCGTCCCAGTAGCTTCGCCGTTGCTGTGTGTCAAGGCCGTACAAAGGGTGGGTAGGCGGCAACTCTACATCATCATAATCATCATCGTGTTCGGCACCCCCATCATCATTCCATCTCTTTTGCCCCTTTCCCGCTGGCGTGGATGGAGAATACTGTAGATCCCGCCTTGCGCTTCGGCTTGGGCCTCGGGACGGTACGGTACAAGAAGAAAAGGTAGTGGCAGTAGCGCAAGAATAAGAAATGGGTACAGGCGACAAGCGATGGTGATTCGCGACAGAGGGCTCTATGGGCGAGATTGCGCGGGTAGAGGGCCACACGGAGAATTTTGGAGGCGCGGCAGAGGGTGCAATAAGGCTGTGCGACGAGGGCGCGCGTGATGGCGGCGCAGGGGGTTGGGGGTGGGAGGTTGGTGGGGGGGAGGAGGAGGCAGAGGAAGAGGAGGGGTACGGGCCGGACGAGTATCGATTTTCAGCATAACTACAGTTGCGATAGAGTTCTCCGGGCTTACTGCGGGGAGCAGCAGCAGGCGTCAAGGGAAAAGCGTGGTCGGGGATGCGGCAATAATAATAATAGTAGTGGTAGTAGTGGTGGTCGTGGTGTGACGAAAACGTCATGCCGTTTTCGTCGAGCGCATCACCGGCGGCGAAACTGAAGACGTCTTGCAATGCTGTTCCCTTGGTCTGCCCATTTGGAATTAGCATGAATTTTATCGACTCAGTTATTCATTCCGCGCAAGCCTGAGTTTCTCAACTGTGCCCAAGCGAACTCACACTAGCAAAACGTCTTCCACTCGAGTACATGCCTTGCAACTCGTCCAGCTTCTTCTTCCGCATCAGCCCATTGTTTAAACTGTGCCACCCTGCATAGCTCGTCTTCTCCTCCTCTTGCGCTACCGCATCGTTCAAAGGCTCGATACTGTCGCTTCTCCTACAGCCCTTATTCCGGCCTCGGTGCCTGCGTTCGCCTTTTCTGATTTCCGTACCACTATCAAAGCACTCTTGGCTCCTGATATCATGCAAGTACAAACTCTCACTCTTGCCGTCTCCACTGGTTTGCGCAAAGTGTGTGCGGAGTGATGCGGCGAGCTCTTGTCGTGCTGATTCGCCTTTCCAACCCAAGCCTCCTCGCCCCACAGTGCCTGCTACCCTCTTTTTTAGGGTGATGCTGTTTTGGCGGATAACTGCGATGCGTTCCCTGAGTGAGCGGACATTGGTAGAAGCTTGTTCCGTTGACATTGTTTGAAGTAGAATGTAAAGCCTTGAGGGGTTAGGGTGGTGATGACCAGGTGTACAGGAGCATTGCTGAAAATAACACCGGATTGCGCGGAACTCTGAGGGCTGATTTGAACTATGAATAGAGTTTTAGGGTCCAAAATAAGGGCGTGGTAGGGTCATTGTTATGATGACACCTTGCATGGCGCAGTCACACAACCGGATTGGATTATGTTTTTTGCAAGTGTGGTGAGGCTGCCGTCGTCGTGGGGGGGCTGAGCAACAAGCATCCAATGGGCGAGCGGCATTGGCCTTGGATGTTAATTTGGTGGAGCTTCAAACATAAAGGGTTCCAAGTATCAAACCCCTACAGCCGTCAATCGCACTCAAACAATTCACAGCACGCACCATTCACAGGAATAGGATTGATTAGGGATCCACAGCACTACTCCTCTTTGTCTTTCAGACCCAGTAACTGCTGCAACACTATCTTTGCTTTTCCTGGCTCGACACTTCCATCCGGAGCCCGCGCCACCATTTGACCCACAAACCACATCGTCTTTTTCACTTGGCCCTTCTCGATGATGTCCTTGACCATTTTGGGGTTCTCCTCCAACAGCGTCTTTGCCAGTTTGACATACTCTTCTTGACTCAACGGCTGTAAGAGTAGGTTTTCCTGATGGACAATGTCTTGGATGCTGCGTGGGTCACCTTCGAACTTGATGGCAAGCAGACGCTTAGCTGACGGCGAAGTAATCTCTTTGCGGCGCACATATGAAATGATTTCCGCAAGATCCTTGTACGAGATACGCTCAGGATCCCAGGCCTCATCTTTGAACAGAGAGCCAAGCTCCATAAGAACCCTACACAGGAAATTAGTCCTAGCCAATAAAAAAAAGTAAAGGTTGAGCATACCAATTTCCTGCGATCTTACCCAGAGCTTGCGATGTAATATCCTCTTGCCGTTCATTGGCTTGGCGCACCAACTCGGCGACCACGTCCAAAAAGTACTCTAGACGTTCGCCATCACCGAATGAGAGAAGCGTGATGGCATCCTTCGTGGTCAGACCATAGTTTTGCACAAGCGTGTCAACATTGACATCGGGCAGCTTTGGCAAAGTATCCCTGAGGTATTGGACGAGATCCTAAAGTCGTCAGTAGTAGTCCAGACCAAATTGAAGCAGGAATTACATCTCCTATGATTATGGGTGCAATGTCGGGATCTGGCATGTACCGGTAATCAATTTCACCCTCCTTGCCTCTCAACCGCTTTGTTGTCTTGCTTCCCAGAGTCCACCCCCGGGTCTCGCCTTCAACCACACCCCCACTCTCTAGCAGTTCAATTTGACGGTCACGCTCTGCAATGATGGCATCTTCAACAGCCTTGACACTTGCTAGGTTCTTGATCTCGGTCCGTTGGCCCAAGCCAGTAACACCAGAGTATGAATGGCCAGATTCCGATGGTTCCCCATGACGCTGACGAACAGAAACATTGACATCAGCACGTAGACCACCGAGCTCCATACCGGTAGTACAAGCATTGACAGTTTTGAGTGTGTTTTGAATCTTGCGGACAACAACGGCGGCCACCACGGGATCATGGATTTCGGGGAGCGTGATGATTTCAATCAGGGGATGCGAGACACGGTTGAAGTCGAGCAGATAGGTCGAAGGTGGCTGCTGCACAGTTTTGGCCGTGTCCTGCTCCATTTGTATCTGCTTGATCCCAATGTCGAAAGGCTCTGACTGCGGGGCTGCGCCAGGAGGAAAGTCATGAGGGTAGATTGTGACTTTGCCGTTCTTTGCAAAGGGCTCGTAGTACTGTGTAATCTGATACCCAGACGGCTGGTCCTGGTAGAAGTAGTGTTTACGGTCGAAGCTACTCTTGGTCTGTATCTCGCATTGGAAGGCTATGGCCGCGCGCAAGGCGGGCAGAAGGGTTTCCTTCTGGAATTGAGGCTGCGTTCCTGGAAATGCGACATCAAATAGAGCAACGTGGGTATTCGGGGGGTCGCCAACAGATGTGGCAGCACCCGAGAAAAGTTTCCGTGCAGTGTTGAGTTCGGCGTGCACCTCAATGCCGACAGTCAATTCCCACTTCTCCAAGCGTGCATTGCTGGCTTTCTTAGAGGAGTCTGAAGAGGCGCCTTTTTCTTTCTTCTGTTGTTTTGCGGCGTCTTTCAAAAGCTTGCGAAAAGAGGTACCATCTTGAGACGATTTCTCGGTTTGGATGGATCGTGCCATGATCGTGACGGGGGAGTGCACACCCCCCAATGGAAGGATTTTAGCTCGGTATAGACATGACCGACATATGTATGGCTGTTTCGAGGCCGCAACGACAGTGTTGCGGGTGCTGCGAGCGAACATGATGTGAAGTCCGACAAGCTGCAGTTCCGCCGCCATGCACAGATGCGGGCGGCCCGTGCTCACTTCCGAGCCTCGACGTCAGTTCCCGTTGTCATCCAATCCAACGTCAGGGCATACCCTTTTGCGAACACCAAGAATTCTTACATTGTTTGATTCATTGCACTGTACTCAACATTTCAATATTCGAAGCAGCCGTGCCTCCTTCGTCCCAGGTCAACTTCCCAAACAATTTTGGAGCTTTCTCATGGGCCATTCAACAACGGGTCGTCGCCTTCTTCGTTGTTGCTGCTTGAAGTGCCCAAGATTAATCAGATTAAGATGAGGAGGGAATTGGATCGAGTCGCTGTGTGATGATTCTAGATACTCAGAGTCCGAGCTCTGAGAAGTGTCATGGATCTCTGCTGTAGGATTTGCTGGTGCCGTGTACATGGTGGTTGGAGCGTAGACGATGATGTAGCAGCTGATGATTGGTGGCAAGGCTGCTCACCAATTTTGGTATTAGGAGTGTTGGGATTATCAGCTTCTGCCATGCGTATCGGCTCGTCCGTTGAGTTTCCCGTAAATACGCGTAGTCCACCTCTTCAGACGGCTGCAGAGCCTCTCCCAAGCTTCTGGCTCTTTGGGCCTGTTCGAAGGGTGTTTGAATATGCCTGGATGTATGTACACTCCGGGCCACTGAGTGAAGTCTGCTTCTGATTGAAGGTTTGTGTCTGCAGAAAATCGAACACTGCGACTACTGCGAACACTCCCCATCCGGGCCACCATTTAGTCGTATTTAGCAAAGGCCAAGTTTCTTCTTGAGCTCGATGAGTATCTCACGGAATTTAGCCTGCTTCAACTTCCTCCTAGCCTTCGCCTTAGCCTTGGCTTTAGCGCGCTCTTCCTTGCGCCTTTTCCGCTTCTCAATTGCTCTCCTCCTTTCAGCCGGTTCTCGGGGGTCCTTTGGCCTGGGTCTATTGGATCGGCGTGCGCCCTGCGCAGGGGCTGGAACGGCGCAACAGGCTACAGCACCAGTTATCGTGCTCATAAAAAAAAGATGAGTCTTAGTTTGCTTCCATGGGACTCTGAATCTCCCCGCCCGGAAGCGTTTCAGCCTACGATCAAGTCTTTTTCGTGCTGCCGGCAGAGATGTCTTTCGGGATCCGAGTATACGCCAGGTCCTTTTCTGCGCCTTCTTTTTGTCTCAAAGGACTCAAAATCTCCCCGTCCTCAAGCGCCTCAACCTCCTCCCAAGTCTCTCTCGTGCTGAAAGCTCCGTACGTCTGGGATCAAGCACGCGCCACGTCCTCCTCTGCTCCTTCTTAACCTTCTTCTCGAATTTACGGAGCCGCTGACGCGCAACGTGTAGTCTCTCCTTCGCAGTCAGTGGGCGGCCTGTGTACGAGTGCGTCCTGGAGCTGTGTCCGACGTGGAAGATGGACTTGCGCTTTCCGATGGAGCGGGAGCGGACAGCACGTGGTGGTGGTGCAGTTTGCGTCTTTGTTTTTTGCGTTTGTCGGGCGGGAGAGTCAAACAGGGAGCTAAAGGGCATGTAACTACCTGGTGGGATGTTGGTGCATGAGTTTGCGGAGTGGGGAGTGGGGGAGTTGACGGTTGTGTGTGTTCAAGTACAGGGTCTGGAAGATGGAGGTGTTTATGTAGTGCGTGAGGGTGTTGAAGACCCTGTTTGAAGATACTGGTGTTCAATGATATGAGGTTAAGGGGGGTTTGAAGAAATAGGCAGGGTGGTATTTACTAGAAAATAATGGATGATCGAGAAGGTAATAGCTCAGCTTGCTCACGCCTGCCAATGTAAGACTACCCGGTGCCTTCCAAACATCCTGGAAACAGCTCCTGCGGTAGTGAGAGACTGAGAAGGCGCTACGTACTCATCTTGGACAAGCATGAGAGTCCCTGCAGTATGTTCGAACAATGTTTAACTCACGTGATTTCACACTCGAGCACTGCAGTGTATACCATTGAAAAAAAGGCTTATTAATGTGAAGAAATAAGAAACTAATACTTCAAGCTAAGGGTATGAAGCAAGCCAGTGGCTTGGTTCAAAGGACACTCAATCTCACTTTCTTTTTCAAAGCCCAACAAGCCTATAACAAAATATCAATTACTCTTATACAAGAAACCAAAGCAAAAGCCCTGTGCCTCTCTTCTCCCAAACTCTCAGATGATCATACAGTTTTCACCTAGTTTCCTCCACACATGACCTCAGCATCATCCCCCCTCTCACACTAATACGCAAACTTCCTCTCACCCATGATACCCCACAGCTCCTCAACAACAGCCTTCTGTTCGTGTTTCTCAGCCCTACGAACCGCAAAATACACGCGGCCCTCGAGATCGGGATTCCAGTCTCCAGGGTTCGCACTAGCCACAATACCTCCAGCCTCCTCGAGGATGATCCAGCCGGCGCAAACATCCCAGACCCAGACGCCACCCTCCCAAAACGCGTCGAGGATACCCTGGGCGACGTAGCAAAAGTCGAGGGCGGCGGAGCCGTTTGAGCGGATGGATTTGCACATTGCGCCGCCCTCGGCCTTGGAGGTGAGCAGAGCGTTGTGGACCGAGGTGCGGAGAGCCCAGTTTGGACCGGAGCGCTGGTTGCCCCATTCTACGGCGATGAGGCATGAGTTGAGCGAGGGCATTGGGGGCGAGACGTGCTGGACAGGGAGCTGGATTTTCAGACCTGTAGCCGTCTTGGTGAGGTAGGAGCCCTGACCCTTGATTGCGTGGTACAGATCGCCTCGAAATGGGTTGTAGACGACGCCGACGACGGACTTCTTGTCGAGGGTCAGGGCGAGGGAGATGGCGCAGTTGGGGACGCCCTTTGAGAAGTTGAGCGTGCCGTCAATGGGGTCGCATACAAAGGTGGGTGTGTCGGAGAGCTTAGTGCCATGCTTGAAGGTTTCCTCGCCGAGAAAGCCAAAGGAGGGATAGGCGATGCGCAGACGGGTTTCTACCATGTCTTCTACCTGCTTGTCGAACTCGGTGACAATGTCGGAAGTGTTGTTCTTGAATTGGGCGGCGGCAAGGACAGAGTGCTCGGCTTCCAGCATGATTCTGCCGCCGTCCAAGGCAATCTCGATGAGAAGATTGTGGATCTTCTTGAGGTCTCGTGCGGTCAAGCCATGCTTGGCTAGTACAGGCTCGAAATCTGGTGCCATTGATGGAAAGCCAGAACGGAACTCGTGGGCTGGCGAGGTGGATCCGGTGTGAATGGGGCTGCCACTAGGCGAGGAGTCTGTGGAGGACATGTTTTGAATTGAAGTAGTCGGTTGTGTTGGGACGCTGCTCGTGGATGTGTTTTTTGGTTGTGTAGCTAACTCTGAGGAGCTGGTTTGGACTTTCTCTATGCAGGCAAGATTGCCATTTATATTGGCCGTGATGTTGTTGCGATATTGTAACAATTTAGATTGACAAAAGGAAGCGTGTCGACACAGCGTTTGAACAATGCTCCGGTTTGGACAAGGACCAAGACTCGTGTGGCTGCAGCATGTGAAGACATTCGTTGCTTGCAGAAGAACGGCTAACATCCGATTCCCAGGTACTAGTGAAGCGAACGACATTGTGTGTCAAGGCATGATGGAGGTCATGTGCTTCATCATGTTCGCATTGTTGGACCATAGGAATACGCTGTGTCAAGGACCACCTGTTATCTCTGGAGATTTTTTAGGAGAAGCCCTAATGCTGTGCTGTTGAGTGATAGCGTGCGGAAGTGCGTGTCGAGGAAAAACCCTACAGGGCTATGCTCTGCCTCGGCTCTTAGCGTACCGGGAAACTCGGATATGGGCGGATAAGCGACTTGGGGCCACCAAATCAGACGTTGGCATCCGGGATGTACTCATGCTGGGGGATTATCGTACATATGCAGAATGGAATACTTGAGGGTTAGGTCTTAGGCAATGACACATGCTTTGGAATGGGGATAGAATAGGTATAGTGGTGCGGCTAGGAGGTGTTGCAGCGTATAGTAGACGATCTCCGCTGCACCTGCCGCATCCCAGACCACGTGCAGCTGCCCTTACCAGAACCAGCAACGCTGATCGCTGGCTCGACACCCCGCTACACCAGCACAGCGATAGAGGGATGGTCTCTAGAACCATTGCAGCACCCGGCACTGTAACCACACAGCCGACATACATGACTCGACACACTATAGGTTACTGGCATACCGGGTCTCCATCGACGTCATAGGCATCTAGTCCATCAATCCCTTGAGATTGGTTACCACCAGAGCCACCACCACTCGAAGAAGAACCAACAATACCAAGCAATAAGGGGAAGAAAAAAAAGATGCCACAGTGCAAATCCCAGCCCAAAGAGCGCTATGCTCGCCAACGTGCCATGCGACAAGGCCGCCGCGCCCTCGCCTCCATGACGGCAAGCACATCGCACCCACAGCCGCAATGCGCCTTATTCAGCAAACTCCCCGCCGAACTGCGTTTCCAAATCTACCAGCTGGTCCTCAGCCAGCGTGCAGACCTGACACAGCCCGTAGACCAGTATGCTCTCTACCCCATGTACTGGCCCGGCCATACACACCATACGCATATCGACACGAGGCTGCTGCGCACATGCCGGCTCGTCTACTGCGAGGCCCACGCCATTCCCATGCGCAGCTACACGCACCACGTCGGGAACAGCATGAGGCCATGGCTGCCGCACGGCGCAATCAAATGGCTGTACCACATGAGCACGCAGCAGGGCGCCCACCCGTACCATTTGCACAGCCGCTTCATGGACCTGCAGCCATGCAACTTTTGGCGCTTCCTGCAGCCCCATCTCTGCTGGCGCAGAATCACCTGGACGGTCCATGTACCCTTCGAACGCGACTTTCCCGACATGCAAGAACACTCTTGTTTTATGGGCTTCCTGGCGCAGCTGGTGCTGCCCGCAACCTGCCATGAGGTCAATCTGGAGCTGGAACTGAAAGTGCAGTCCATGCCATCCGTCACGCAGCTCTTTGATGAGTGTAGGACACTGAAGCTGAAAAGGGCAGATGGAACGGCCTTGGAGGTGGATCAGGCGTCTTCGGTGAGGTATACATGGAAGAAGGTCAGACTGGTGCAGTCGGAGTCGGGGTCGGGGTCGAGCACACCAACACTCGACATTGGTACGAGGTTTCATAGCCAAAGGTTGTGTTGGAGGGACGACATTCCGAGAAAAGTGTGCACGAGCTATGACTTTTTGGACTGTTTGAGCATTCGAGCCGGACCGGGTGAAATCGACGAAATCCAACCTCTCCTATAGTGGCTGTTGGGCTGTCCTCACCGACGCGTTGCTGGCAGTGTCAAAGTAACATGTATATTAGAGTTGCCCACAAACTATCACGTAGTCATAAGCCCTAAGCCAAAGCCAGTTGCCGTCCTTTTAGTGCATTTTGCTCACACTTGCTGTCCCCCGTCCTTGGCATGTCCAGTGCATCATTAGCCATGTCTTCGCGCCGTACCGCTCCGCCCGCTGCATGAATGCATACCCCTGCTCAGATGGGCCAGGTTTGCAGGCCCCAATCCTTGTCATGCCCTTCATCATCTTGTGCACCACTGGAAATCCGCCTCACCCCCTAATTCAAAAAAAAAGAGAAACATGCCGGGAATGGGGAAACGCTCATAGAAAAGAAAACTGCAAGACAGCCGACTAACCCCTTTGAAGGGGCTGGCGCAAGACTGCAGACGGGATCGCTGCGAGTGACCGTCGCTGCTGGCATGCTTTGTCGTGAGAATGCTGTACGAAGGCCGCATGACACTTCAGCCCAGCACCCTCGGTCCGTTCGTCTTGCTCTTCTTCTGAACACCCCGGGGTATGAACATGGCGGGAGACGAGATGACAGCCGGAGTGCTGCTCGTGCCGGCCTTGTCCTTGTTGTCCTTGTTCTTGTTGTTCTTGTTCTTGCCCTGCTGCTTGTGCTTGTCGTCGCGCTTGGTGATGGGCTTGACTTCGGACGTGGCTCGCTTGATGAGGACTGGGTGGCTGCCAATGTACTTGCCCTGCATCTCCTTGGCGGCTCGGAAGTAGTCGTCCGTGTCGGCAAAGCTCACGAAGCCGTAGCTCTTGCTCTTGGTCGACTTTTTGTCGCGGACGACGCGCGCCTTGGACAGCGACGGGTACTTTGCAAAGGCTTTGAGGAGCGAGTCGTCGGTCACTTCGCCCGCAAGGTTTCCAATAAAGAGTCGGGGGTGGAGCGGATTCCACTCGAGGAGCGTCTCGTCCTCCCACTGCTTTCCGCCTCCTTCGCGCACGACAGTCTTGCGCTTTCCGTCGGCAGTAGGAGCTGCCTCTGTCTCCTGGGCGGCTGCCGCTTCTGGGCGGACAGTCACGCTCGGGTTGCCTCCCTTCCTTGCATTGGCGTCGGCAGCATTGTAGGCGCTGTTCCACTCGGCGATTCGAGCCTCTTCCTCGGGGTCATATGCGGAGCCAAATCCGCGGTTCGCCGAGGGGGCGGCAGAGTATGAGGCAGCAGGTGCAGCCGTGGCATAGGCTGGGTACGAGTAATTGTTGTAAGCATTGCTGGTCGGGTAAGCAGGTGCTTGGTATGGAGCGCTCACTGTTGGTTGCGAGAAGGCTGCGGGGGTGGGTGGTGCTTGTGGAGGGGCATGAGCAGCAACGGAGCGCGGGGTGAAGGCGGCAAACATGGCCGGGTTGCTCTGGCCGCGCGCAGCCGTGTTGTTGGGCCTTGAGGGGGGCGCCGAGTAGGTGGTGGGAGGAGGCCGCGCCGGGAGCGAGTGGTGCGGCTGCATGATGGCGGTGTCGCAACTGCACGTCAGTTCAGATTAACCCGAGCAAAGTGGTGACTTAACCAGCTACAGGGCGGGCGCGGGTGGGCGGCGCGATGGGGGTAGACTGGTGATGGGGTGGAAGTGGTGGATGCGGTGGATGCGGTGGATGTGGCGGCTGGGCGTGGCAGAAAAAAACGTGACTGGGCGGCGCGGCGGAGCGCGGCGCAGATGGCGAGCGAGGAACGCGGTATGGCGGGGATTAATGCCGCAGTCTGTGTGCGAGAGAGGGCGAGGCGCAGGCACAGGCACAGGCACAGGCGCAGGTGCAGAGCGAGGGGCCGGCGTAGACGCGGATCAGGTCCGGTGGTTGAAACGAGAACAGAGACGGCGGGCAGGGTGGGATGGCGGGCCGGTGCAATTTGCAATTAGCTGGGCGTGCATGCGTGGGATGGCGGGTCGATGGCGACGTTGTGCTGTTATTATTATTACGACGATTTGCCTGGGCCTGCGCGAGCACCTCCGAACTCTCCGGCAAGCGCGTCACGTGCCCGCGGCATGTCGGCAACCCACGACGACGACGACGACGACGACGACGACGCCGTGGGTAAACACAACACCACGCCATGCCATGCATCGTCCGTCCACTGCCACTATGCATTCCTGCGCGCACGCAAATTAGTCCGCCGCCCGCCGTGGCCATTCCGCCGCATCGCACGCGGTCGTCGAGTTCCGGTGTCGACGCCCAGGCTCCTCACGCACCTGGTACACACAGATGCCTGCCGGCTGCCCCTCGCTCCCCCGTGTGCTCGTCGCGTCATGCTGTGTCAAGGCTGAGTTGGAGGGGCTGGCGGCGCTGAGTAACGCAATCAGCCGCATTGCGCGCAATTGCAATTGTGCCGGCTGCCATTCCATGCCATCAGGCCCATACACACACACGCACACTGACAGGCGCCCGCCCAATTGCCCCGATGCGTGCACGCCCGCTGCTTGCTAATCATCACAGCGTTTGTCCACCACCCACACACACACGCCGCCGTACCACGCACAGTTGACAAAAGCCGCTTGCAAGGCGTTGGCCTGGCTGCCCTTTACCGCCGCGGCCGAAGCCATGGTCCCAGTCGCCGTCCTAGTCGCCGTCCCAGGCCCTCGCCGTCATGCTGCTGGTGCTGGTGGGACGTGCAGCCATTGATGCAATCAGTTGGCTGCCCCGCTTGTTTCCAAAGTCTTTCCGGCGACTACATTATCCCAGAGACCCCCACCACGCTTCCTCTCCTCTTCCTCTTGACCACCACCACCTCCCAAGCCCCCCTCAAGCCCTCAATTGCCCTCGAGTGTTGTACGCCCGGTCGCTGCAACCCCGCCCCCACTACACCAAACCCCCCGCCTTCACCACAACACCAACCATGTCTGAGGCTGTCGGAGACTTCGGCCTGATCGGCTTGGCCGTACGTATATGCTCCCTCCCGCCCACATGCAATCCCCTCGCATCGCCGTGTCGCCGCCCGCGCGTAAATTGACGCATGCTGACATTCATTCTTCGCAGGTCATGGGTCAGAACTTGATCCTCAACGCGTAAGTCGTAGCCATGGCCATCTGTCCCATCGTCCTCGTGCTAACAAGACCCCAGGGCTGACCACGGCTTCACTGTACGCAACCCCCCCCCCATGCTCGTGACAAATTGGATTGCATCGAGAGGAGACTAACTTGTGCATAGGTCGTCGCTTTCAACCGAACGTAGGCGCTTCGACCCCATTTGCCCAACATCACATACTGACCAGCAGCCAGCGTCTCCAAGGTTGACCGTTTCCTCAACGATGGTACGTCTGCCACGCCAGACGCCCGCCACTAGAGCTGACACGCTAAAATAGAGGCCAAGGGCAAGTCGATTGTCGGCGCCCACTCCATCCAGGAGTTCGTCTCCAAGCTCAAGAAGCCCCGCCGCATGATGATGCTCGTCATGGCCGGAAAGCCCGTCGATGACTTCATCGAGCTGCTCCTCGAGGGTGGTGCCGAGGAGGGCGACATCATCATCGACGGTGGTAACTCGCACTACCCCGACACAAACCGCCGCACCAACTACCTCAAGGCAAAGGGCATCCGATTCGTCGGAACCGGTGTCTCTGGAGGAGAGGAGGGCGCCCGCTACGGCCCCAGCATCATGCCCGGTGGTAACGAGGAGGCCTGGCCCTACATCAAGGTACGACGAGCCTGCAATCACTCGACCAGACACATCTAACAACCCGCCCAGGACGTCCTCCAGTCCATCTCCGCAAAGTCCGACGGCGAGGCCTGCTGCCAATGGGTCGGCGACGAGGGTGCCGGTCACTACGTAAAGATGGTGCACAACGGTATCGAGTACGGTGACATGCAGTTGATCTGCGAGGTAAGACGAAATGGCCAAAACTAAGCGGGCACAGAAATTGACGACAACAGGCCTACGACATTATGAAGCGCGGTCTCGGCATGAAGAACAAGGAGATTGGTGATGTGTTCGCCGAGTGGAACAAGGGCGTCCTCGACTCATTCCTGATTGAGATTACTCGCGACATCATGTACAAGAACGACGACGATGGCGTTGCCATTGTTGAGAAGATTCTTGACTCTGCTGGCCAGAAGGGTACCGGAAAGTGGACCGCCATCAACGCTCTCGACCTCGGTATGCCCGTCACGCTCATCGGAGAGGCCGTTTTCGCTCGCTGCCTGAGTTCGCTCAAGCAGGAGCGTGGCCGCGCTGCCAGCCTTTTGGACGGCCCCACTCCCAGCTTCTCGGGCGACCGCAAGGCTTTCATCGACAACCTCGAGCAGGCCCTCTACGCCTCCAAGATCATCTCGTACGCCCAGGGTTTCATGCTGATCCAGAACGTGAGTGGGCTGGGCTCTACGGCAGGAACAGCGCTAACTTGGACATAGGCCGCCAAGGAGTACAAGTGGAAGCTGAACAAGCCCGAAATCGCCCTCATGTGGCGTGGTGGCTGCATTATCCGATCCGTCTTCTTGAAGGAGATCACCAAGGCGTAAGCCCCAGTGAGCCTGTAGTTGCCAGTACAGCATACTGATTTTTCCAGCTACCGCCAAAACCCCGAGCTCGAGAACTTGCTCTTCGACGACTTCTTCAGCAAGGCTATCCACAAGGCTCAGTCCGGATGGAGAGAGTAAGTGGTTTGCCCGCGAATACGGTGTATAGCGCTAACCGCATCGTAGCGTCGTCTCCAAGGGTGCCCTCTGGGGTATCCCCACTCCCGCTTTCAGCACCGCGCTCAGCTTCTACGACGGATACCGCACCAAGGACCTCCCTGCCAACCTGCTGCAGGCGCAGCGTGACTACTTTGGTGCCCACACCTTCAGGATCAAGCCCGAGTTCGCCAACGAGACATACAAGGAGGGCCAGGACATTCACGTCAACTGGACCGGAAGGGGTGGAAACATCTCTGCCTCGGTATGTTCCCATGTGCCGCGTCAAAGTGCAAAAACTAACGTGTTCGGCAGACATACAATGCTTAAGCGTACAGATATCCACGGCTTGTATTGCAAAAGCACAGCATTGCCCGGACTTACATTTGAAAAAGAACAAATGTGCGGAGCAAGATAGCTTAAATCTAGAATGAATAATGATTCACATGTCGCGCGTCCATCTGTGCTTGAACGTATGTACGAGGGTGTCTTGGCCTCGAATACTCGTACTCGTACTCGTACTCGTACTCATGCTCATGCTCGTACTCATGCTCATGCTCATGCTCATAGCGTGACCGAAGCGCTAGCTGCAAGTAGCATCGTTCCAAGACCCCTGGAAAACAACCCCGCTATCCAGCAGAGCATACATACGGCTACGTAGTCTGATTGCCATGCTGCCAACCAAAATTATTTCCTGCGCGAGACAGGAGCCCGTCGCAAACCATCCAGCAGCTGGTCGCCGGCGTGATTGGTGCAGCAGCAAGCGCGCCGGAGCAAGCCTTGGCATAGCGAGCGCGGAAAGTTGCCCTGCCCAACACACAACAACACACTGCATCCGTCCTGAGCTTCCCGAGCTCTCCACACGCCCGCGCTTCACCTCTGTTTGGTTGCGCGCGCGCCCTGATTTTTTGTTTCTTTCATTCCTTTGCATTGTATATTCACTGCCTGTATGACTCTCCGGCGTTAGGTCTTTGGCGAGTGTATCCGGGCAACAATACCCCTTCCGCTACCTGTGCCTTGCAAAGCGCTGGTAAAGAGAGAGAGAGAGAGAGAGAGAGAGAGACAGAGAGAGACAGAGAGACAGCGACAAACCTCTGGTTCGCAATGGCCGATAGCAAGCGCAACAGCGTTGCAGGCAAGGTTGCGACTCCAAACCTCAAGGCCGGCGCCGGATCAAACAAGGATGTCATTGATGCCGACTCGAACCTGTACAAGGCTGTGGGATCGCGGTAAGTCCAGCTCGCTCCGTTCAATGCTAAGCTCGAATAACAAATGCCGGAAGAAGCTGACAAACAACAGCATCAGGATAACATGCGCCCCTGGCAAAAACGTCCTCGAGGGCACCCTCTTCACTGCCTGCAACATTACCCACGCCATAGCCATCAACACCGCGCCTGCTCCTCCGAACCCCGCCTCTGCTCTCAGCCAGCCCGGTGACTACCACATTATCTCTTTTGCACACATCGAGTCTTTTGAGATTCTCGGATCAGGAGAGCGGGCGCCAGAGTCGACGGCGGGTTTTGACGGCGCTCTTCCCAGTATCTCCAAGGTGGATCTAGCCGCGCTGCAGGCTCGTGAAGATCAGACGATCCGCGAAATGAAGAAGAAGGATGCGCAGAAGGGCAAGGGTGTTAGCCCAGAAGCACAGGAGCTATTCGATGCGATATCCAGGACGTAAGTTGCAATGAAATACCCACAAGCGTATAGAGCCGAGGCTGACCAGCACAAAAAGGCTGCCAACCCGTTGGGCCGATACTCAGATTGTAGTTAGTGACTCTGTTCTGATTCAATCGCCCTATACACTCGACAGCATCCGAGCACCTGCCGATAAGGCGCAGGCCGAGAAGCATGTGCGCAAGATTGTCGAGCACTACTACCAGCGCAAGAAGGGTCCGCAAGCAGGAGGAACAACCCGTGCCCCAGTTGCTGTACCCAATGCTCCGCGAAAAGGGGGTTAACTGGGCTACCGCTTAAATCTTGGGCAACTACTCGGCTCGCTGTAAACTATTTTCTCGACGCAGACATGATATTGCAAATGTTGACAGAGAAAGAAACCATCTCTTTTCTACATGCGCATTAATGCCGTCGGGAGAGGAAGAAACAGGAAGAAGGAAGAAAACGCCTCCAGACAATAATGTGTGGGGGCGCATGTAATGTAACTAGTATGGGAAAGAAGAAAAAGTCTCTCATTCTGCATCTACGCACCAAGCGCAGAAAGAGGACTCTTTCTCTTTCTCTTTGCAGACAATTTTAAATGATTATTCAACTCGCACTCCTCTTTTCGTTCGGGCTGATGATGTATGTGTTGAGAATGGTTGTTTGTGGCTAAGTAGACTAGTAGTCCTGGAACAAAAGGAAGAAGAAGACAAAAAAAACAGTTACTTGACGTGTGAGAATGGAAAAAAGGGAGCCATAAGTATAAGTAATATTTCTTTTTTTCTTCTTCTTAGCGGCGTATGGTAACATTGTACAAGAACGCAGCAAGATAACGCGTGGAACCTCTGTATCCTCATTTCCTATGTATATCCTATATATATATATATATATATACCATGTATATATGCGCTGCAGTACTGAGTCGAATGCCGTATCAACTCGGCTGTTTACATGTCTTGCACTACATACATACATACATACATATATATATATATGCAGTCTACTACTAAACACTATTATATAAAACGCTTGAACGTCTATTATCTCTCTGACCAAAAAGTCCTTCCTCTCCTCCTCCATTGTTGCATTGTTCTTTTTATCGGTATACGCTATGTATCAAGGGCGCTATTATACTGTATTCTTGGATACTTTTATATATAACGTATGTGGCAAGCGAGCGCCGCAGGCAAGCGAGCGCCGCACCCCACCAAACCTGCGCACCTCTATAAGCCTGTAGTTCCACCACAATATAGTTGTTTTACTACATATTAACATTAATAGATTAAGCAGTACCTAGA